CTCTCGAAAATCAACCGCGACTTCCCCGCATAGCCCTAAGCAAGCGGAATCGGGCTATCGTGAGGGCTCTGAACCCAATGCTGGTGACCTATTTGGAAGCCAGCCGGGACCTTTGCGAGACGGACTCAATTCTTTTTGGCGCCACACTGGCAGTCTGTCGTATTATAGGCGCCAAACTCTCCACGGCTGGACGCGCTACTGGACAAAGTAGTGCTATCCCAGCCTGGAGAATAAGAATTGAAGAACGTATCGCAAAGACTAGGGCCCTCATCGGCAGTCTGATATGCTTCAGGTCAGGCAATACCAGGCCAAGGATTGCGCGCACCGTCAGGATGGCGTTTGCTGGAACAAATGTTAATTTGTCCCAGCCGAATATAATGCAAAAACTGACGGAGCGCATAGACGACCTGAAGCAGAGAATCGCTGCTTGAGGAAAGCGGATTCGGCGATATACCAAGAGGTCGACAGGGTTCAACCAGAATCGTCTCTTCCAGAGTGATCAGAAGAGGCTTTATAAATCATTGAAGCGACCAATGGTAAGTGGAACGGGCCCAGCACCGAATCAGGCCGACACAGTCGCATTCTGGCGCAGTCTGTGGTCAGAGCCCGTAAACCACAGTGAGGGCCCTTGGACGCAAGTTGTGGCGAGTCAGTGTGCAGGTATAACGCCCATGGACCCCGTCATCATAACGCGGGATGACGTAGCTGACGCGGCCCCGAACTGGAAAAGTTCCGCATCCGCGAAAGCATTTCCGACCGGGAGACCGTATGGAAGGAGAAGGAGCTCCACGGGAGGTACTACAGGGCTCTACATGAGCCCTTCGTAGATACAGTTGCCTCCCTCAACTGGCTACGTTTCGGTGACCTTTTCGGGGAAACCGAGGGTTTTGTCTGTGCAATACAGGATCAGGTTATTAAGACCAACAACTATCGGAGATACATCCTAAAGGATGGCACCGTCGACGTCTGTCGAGCTTGTCGCCATCCCGGTGAGTCACTTAGGCGTGTCATCTCCGGTTGTTCGGCGCTTTCTAACTCTGAGTACTTGCACAGGCACAACCTAGTAGCCAGAATTCTACACCAGGAGCTCGCTCTGAAATACGGTCTCGTGGACCGGAAATTGCCGTATTACATGTACTTGCCGGAAGCCGTGCTCAAAAATGACCGCGCCAGGTTCTACTGCGACTGGGCCATCATCACAGACAAGAATATTCTTGCGAATAAGCCTGATATTGTGCTGATGGACCGGGCACACTCAAGGATATTTTTGATCGACATTACCATTCTGTATGACGAGAACCTCGTGAAAGCCGAAACAGATAAACTAACAAAATAGCTGGACCTGGCTCACGAGGTGACCGACATGTGGGGTGGTCTGCCGGCCGAAATTATTCCTGTAGTCGTCTCTGCGAAAAGGCTAATTCCTGTCAGCCTTTCGGGTCATCTGAGGCGACTGGAACTCAGTGACAGACCGCTCCGAGCTCAAATGCAGAAGGCAGTGCGCCTCGATACCGCCCGCATCGTCCGCCGGTTTCTTTCCCTTTCCTCCTAACCCTCAGCCGTTTAGTCTCCATGCCGAGGGCTTCCATTTGGTTGGATCTTATTTATTTATGTATTTTTTGGATTTATTTTATTTTATTGATATCTATGTATATTTATCTTTTCATTTTAACTTAAAATTATATATTTATAGAACCCAACCAGATGAGAAAATTATATAGATACCCCAAGATAATAATAAATAGCTATGATAATAATTATTAAAAAACTAATGATAATTAGTCGCAGGTTTTTTATCGCACGACGCGGTCGCTCGCTACTTTGGTGGGGAGCGGTTGTGTCGGCGTGTATAAATAGCAACTGTTTTGGCTCTCCACTGACCATAGATTACTGTATATATACCCGCTGACTTAGTGATCAGCCGCCGTAGAGTCTACATCACCAAAAGATGCCTCGTGTAGAGGCGAAACACGTGCCGTATTATCGTCGATGGTGTGTCTTTCCTAGAATAGTGGTGTTGGGAGTAGTAGTGCTGGGATTAGTGGTGACGGGATTAGTGCACGCAATTGAGGGAGCGTGGTAGATGCTCTTCAAACTAAGTAAGACAAATCATTTTATTTAATTAAGCGGATGGTTGCAAAGTAACTTTTAATATCTTTAACATCTTGTAAAATGAGGTGAAACTTTTTTTTATATACATACAACATACACAGTCATTACAGAATGAGCACCCTAATTCGACAGTGTAGCCAACGATACAATACCATATGCCACTCTACTGAGCTCACTCAGCGAACATGAAAACAAATCAGTTCGCTCCGACATGGCGTTGATCACACTATGCGCGCGCGCGAACGGCGCCTGCTGCATCAGTTCGGTGCGCGCGCGCGGCACCGCCAGCAATGGCGGCCGCCGCCGACGCCCCACGCACCAATCCGGCGCATTGAGTCGCACCATCTCCAGCACTCTCGGGTTGTATATTCTACCCCTCATCACCTTCAACACGTACATAGCGAGAGCTACTTCTCTTCTAACTTCGAGCTTGTAGTATCCTACCATACCGAGCGAAAATAGAGTAAAGCGCCCATTACATTATCCAATTTGCAGAGCGCTAGATTTAGTGCTGCAGTGAACTATAAAAAGAGCTCGCTCATTACACTAGACTAGCTAGTGAAGCTAGTTAGTTTAACTTCCTTTCATTTCAGTAGTGATCGTCGGCCAAACCGCATCTTTCGAAGAGCGCTAAACGAATATGGCACCATCAAAACACCAGAATGTTGGCATTGCTTTAGCAATGGTGTCATGTTTAATGATAATTAATAAAAAAAGACGCAGAAAATATTGGGTCGAAGAATATTTATTGCTGAGACAAAAACTGTCAAATATGAACATTGTGAACATATTGGAGCCATCTGGGTTTAGAATTTTTTTAATGAATTGGATCTTCACAGTTTGAAGAACTACTGACATTGATCACACCATATATAAAAAAGGAAGATACACTTCTTAGAGAAAGTATCAGCCCAAGAGAACGATTAATCGTTATAATTACGTTTTCTAGCCACAGGAAATGCTTATGAAGATTTAAAGTTTAGCTCCTTAATCTCAGCATGTCTTCTTACTAAAATCATTCCCGAAACATGTAAGGCTATTTATAAATGCCTAAAGCACTATATAAGCGTAAGTAAATAATACTCGTTTTTTACAAAGAAAGTTACGAATTTATGTACGTATATACGGGAACTAACGGCTCTGTGGCTGATGCAGCGATTTTAAAATCATCAAAATTTTATGAAAGGCTTCAAAATGGTAGTTTGAATTTGCCTTCAGCTTGCACATTACCGAACACACAAGTTACTGTACCATACGTATTTTTGGGTGACAGTGCTTTTGGTATCGAAAGAAACGTAATGAAACCATTTCCTTTCAAAGGCATAACATATGAAAAAATAATATTCAACTACCCCTTATCTAGGGTTAGAAGAGTAGTAGACAATGCATTCGGTATATTAGCCGCCCGCTTCCGAGTTTTACGAAGAAATCTGAGTGTTAAAATAGATAGAGTGGATTATATTATACTCGCATGTTGTGTTTTGCACAATTTTTTACGGAGAAAAGCACCTCGATATATTACTACAAATTCTGTTGATCGAGAAAATACAAAAACATATACATTCCATCAACGAGATTGGCGCCAACAGATACCCGACGGCCTGGTTAATACTTATGGTTAATAATTCAAAGCGTGTGAATGAAACCCAGCTTAATGCTGAACGGGTTGCAGTTTGAAACAAGTTTGTGGACTATTTTAACTCAAAAGAAGGTAGTGTTTCTTTCCAGGACAAAATGATGAATTTCGTAACAACAAAATAATAAAATTTTTGATTATTAAATAAACATATTATTAATATACCTGTTTTTCCATTGTGTCTCGGCCTATACGACAAGGCTCACTAACCGACCCAAGAAAACTCAAAGCATCAAAGTACCAAAGTGTAGGTACATACACCTCGTCAGCTCCAGCTCCAGTGCGACTCGATTCTTTTACCTAAAACATAAATATATAAACCGTTCCATATTAAATAATAAACACTAAATATATAGAATAAAATCGTAAAAAACCGAATCTGTCTATTCTACTGCCAACTTTTTTAACAATTTATTCCAGAAGAAAGTAAATACGGGATAATCAAAAAACTGTCACTAATGCGTAATCCACGTGGACGAAGTCACGGGCTAAAAGCTAGTACTAAATAAAAAGCGATTTTTTTAAAACCCTATAAAATTATTGCGATTGTGACTAATGCGAAATCATAAGACAAAAATGTTTAGTTCGTATAATAATGAATTGGTTGGTACATACCTTTTTTAATTCCTTAAAGTAACCGGTTCTTAAATTTTGAATTTTTTTTACTAAATTTTTCACTGTCACGTTGCTATCGAATCCTTTGTAAACTTCAAGAAGCACTTTGTTTCCATCATTTCTTATATCTTTGTTTTTATAGTCCTTATGTTTTTTATCCCAAAGATATGGCATGTCTTTGTATAATTCTATTATATTCAAGAGCACTAGCACGCTAACTCACCTAGCGCTCTGCAAATTGGATAATGTAATGGCCGTCTAAGATACAACAAGGGATAGCCCGGGTACACTCCAAATTGTTTCAAGTACTTATTACATTTCTTAAAATAAAATTATCAATATGTGGGGAATCTGTTGATTTTTTGTCCCCAAATTGGGGAATTTGACTTGGATTTGCGGGGAATTTGACAAATTGATGTTGGCGCTGTTAAATTAAACTGTCAACTGTCAATGTCAAAGTTGCCGAAAGGAAGTAATTGAGGTACAGAGGTACGGTCATAGATTACTGTATAGGTACTCTCTAGTATATAGGCAGTAATCTATGATAGGTACGGTATAATGAACTCAACTCTTGTTGATTGCTGATAATTGATAAGTTAAAGTATTCCTGAATAGAATTGTAGCATTGTATAATAAAATGAACTCAATATTAAGAAGTAGATGTTTATCGGCATGTCGTGTATTTTCTACTTCAAGTGTAAGACAATGTGCCGTACCACCAAAGAAACCGAAAAAGTTTATTGGTCCTATTACATGGAAATCAATGGCCGTGACTGCTGTGGTCGGTGGTAGTTTGACTGCATTCATGATGTATGTTAGGAAAGAAAAAGAAGACGCTTTAGAACGCGAAAGGAAACGACAGCTTGGTAAAGCAAAGATAGGAGGAACATTTGAACTTGTGGATCCAGAGGTAGGCTTAACTGTACAAAATCTTCAACTATTACGAGGAAAAGATCTTTATTTGTTAGTCTAATCCTTAAATAATTGAGATAAGGTTCATAATCTTACATTATAGTACTTAGTTACATGTTAGTATCTTTCCTAGCTGCAGAATATTTTTCTTCTTCACCCTTTCATAACACTGGGTACTTGTGATTTGTTACACTGAGGCAGATAACTGCACCTCTGCAACACCAGAGCTCTAGGACTTTCTTTCCCTGTCATAATTTTTTTTTATAAACTGATCTTCTACACCTGTACTTTCGACCAAAACAATCCATTGCAAGTCTTACAATATGTTCTTTGGGTTGACTATAGGTATCTGGTACTTGATTTTAATCATGTTTTCAGTTTAGGAGCCTTGTCAGGGTTAAGCTTAAACCTTTTACATTGTTTTTGAATGTCGTAAATGCATTTTGAATTAATTAAGAAAAACAAATTTCACTAAAAATTTCTTATAACTAAATGCAAATATGTAAATTTGTTCTCGTATTATGAAGTAGACCTCCGGTACTTAATTTTAGAAGTAACTTTAATATCAATATTACTGTGTAAAAAGTAGTTCTTGTAATATGAAGGTGGTCCCACTACCATCTCGTGTTCCTGGGTAGTATTAGAAGTTTGTATTTCACAAGCACAGTAGTTTAAACTTACTTAATCTGAAAAGTTAAAACTTAAATTACTCTTGTTTTATGAAAAACATTACAAAATAATTTTCACACTTAGACTTTCTACTAGAGAAGAAACAATTAGCTGTTTGGTCGAATACCAGATATTCCGCCGTATTCATGATTTCCACCAGCATGGATATGTATATTTGTGTATATCCGCAAGGACATATATTTTTTTATAGCATTGGGTGACAAACAAGCACACAGTCCACCTGATGGTAAGTGGAGTGCTGTGGGCTGTGGCCCGTAGACATCCACAGTTATTTATCTTCAATTAAGAGTCAAACAGCAAATGCGTTGTCACCTCTGAGGACTAAGATGGAATGCCTCGATTCCAGTAAAAAGGGTCTCTGGTTCTCTACACTCACCATATGAAACAGCAGAATTAAGTTGCTATTTTACACTGGTATTCTGTGAGAGCAAGGTCCTGTCCTGGTTGAGCCGACCCATACATGCTACAACTATAATATAGCTGCAGCATGGCCCTACCATGTATAAAACATCTACTGTAAGTGTCTTCATCACCTTGAAAACTCTAACTTCTCCACAATCTGGATAGACACAGGAATGGATAAAATAATTTATTCTTGTGTCTATCAACCAGGAAATAACTAGGCTATTTGAACACCGCAAGTGAAGCTTGTGTGTGTGGCTTTGCATCAGTACACTAATGCACAGTTGGTTTTGTTGGGGACTTTAATGCCTGTCATCAGGAGTGGCTGTTTCCATAACAGAAGACCGACCACGCCGGGAGAGAGGTGTGGAATTTTGCCTTGTCAATGGGGCTCTACCAGCTGATACAACAAGTGACTAGGGTACCCGATGTAGATGGGCACACAGCCAACTGCCTCGATCTTCTGCTGACAACTGATCTGGACAGGTACACTGTTTAGGTTACCTCACCCTTGGGAACTTCTGACCACTGTCTGGTGTAATCAGTGTCGATGTATTCAAGTCAACAGATTGAGATGAGATGTGGCATTTCTTTGCATCTTTCCTTGTTGACAAGTCTGCTTCTCATCTGAAGATTCGTCGAGATGCGCGGATGCCATTACAGATGTGGTATGTCAAGTGATGAAGTATTTCATCCCCTTTGTTGACATGCCCATTGGTGGTAAAGCTCGCACATGGTCCAGCGCTTGTGCTGAAAAACAAGCATGTGTCGATGCTCGAGAGCCCAAAAATCCGAATGATGGCTTTAAAATAAGAACTTCTAACCAAGCGGCCAAGTTCTGTAAAATGGCGTTATGGCAAGCCAGTTTCGACCGAATTATACGCATTGGTACTAACCTCTCTGTCAAACCATCTAGCTAGACTGGAATAGTGTCCAAGTCTTGGAAGCTAGCGAATGTTGCAGCCTGTGCCTAAATAAAAATTAGACAGCTGTGCCGACCCTGCCAACTATTGGCCAGTATCAATTACCACCATACTCTGTACGATTATGGAAAGTATATTGAACGCCCAACTTGTGGCATACCTACACTGTTAAAAATTTTAGTAAAATTACGAATGTTTTACAAAACAAAATATGAGTAAAATTACAAATCAGTGTATTGCCAACATAGTTTACAGTACAATTCGAGTAATTTACCAAAGCATGTGAGGAAACTTACTAAGATGAGTTCTAATTTTTCAAACTTCATGTAGTGGTAGAATCACTACATGAAGTTTGTAATTTTACCAAACTGGTCAGTTTTTAATTAAAAAACTGAAATTTACAAGAATTGTTAATTTGAATTACTACAATTTTTTGTACAGTTATAAAAAATATTAAAACTGAAATCACTTTAGTGATTGAAAGTTTTACAAATATTTTTAGTATTTTTATAATTTGGACTTGAAAATTACGTGACGCATTGTAATTCTACAAAAAAAAATATTTTTCTTAAATATTTTGTAATTTTACCAAACCGTTGATTAATTTTCAATAAAAAAAGTAAATATACAAATATTGTTTAAGATTTCATTTACTACATTTTTTCATAAAGTTCAAACAAAAATTGGAATTTAGGAGGTTTATGAATATCTTTAGTATTTTAATAATTTAAACAAAAATTTTTATTACTCATCGGTCATTTTACTAAACCGTTGGATAATTCTCAATAAAAAGTTCTCACCAAACTGCACGTCACTCGATATGTTGACCCCGAGGATTCCGATACTGGCTTAGGCAACAGGTAGAGTGCTCCGAAACTGAGGAGATACGACAAAAAGGTTTTACTTAGCTGTAAATGCGCAAACTTATGTCTTCTGGGGATTGAACTGGACTAGATTTAGTCGCCCCCCGTCCGATACTTTGTTCAACAAAGTCTCGACTTCAGACACAAGTTTATCCTGGTAAAGAGCGACGTTCTTCGTCGGTCTTACCTAGGACAGTAAACTTAACTGGAATAAACACATAGAAAACAAAATCAGTAAAGCTAGTTTAACTTTCTAGCAATGCAGAAACATGATTGGCAAACGATGGGGTTTGACGCCAAAAATTATACTGTGGCTGTACAAAACTGTAATTCGGCCCATGATCACATACGGCTCTCTGGTATGGTGGACCAAAATTAATGAAGCCACCACTATACGAAAGCTTCAGCGTTACCAGAGATAGGCTTGTATGGCTGCCACGGGCTGCATAAGGACTACACCAACAGCAGCTTTGGAGGCTATGCTGGAGCTAACACCGCTTCATCTACATATACAACAAGAAGCAACTTTAGCTGCCATTAGACTCAAGACCCTAAATCTTTTAAGTAAGAGTAGAGTCCCCCATACAGATATAATTGATAGAATTTATTCAAAAATTCCATCTTACAAGCCAAGTATGATAGGATCCCAAAATAATTTGTATTCGATAAGAAGTACAGGATACAATTGAAAGAAACTGACCATCTGGAAGGATTGGGTCCAAGAGAACTCAAAGTTTTCATGGATGGCTCTAAGACAAATGAAGGTGTGGGGTCTGGGGCTTTCTCTGAAGACCTTAATATCCACATATGCACACCGCTGGGTACCCACAACACAGTCTTCCAGGCTGAATGCATGGGTATCATCCAAGTGGCCATAGCAATAGATGCTAGGAAGGTGAAAGATTTCTCCATCAGAACACTGACCGACAGTATGGCAGTACTACAAGCTCTGAGTTGCAATGTGACGAACTCGGGACTGATATACGTGTGCCATCAACGATTGAATGAGGTATGTAAGCACAACAATGTAACTCTGCAATGGATCAATGGACACAGTGGATCTAGAGGCAACGATGCAGCAGATGAACTGACCAGAAGGGGGTCGGCTATGGCAAGTATAGGGCCGGAACCTATAATATCAATCCCCTTTGGCTATGTTCGTTCACTGGTACGTAGATACTTCAATAATTTACACGCTCAACTTTGGAAAAATTTAGTAGACTGTAGACAAGCTAGGAAGGCCCTGCTTGAAATAAACAGTCGTCTAACCAAGGTTCTAATGAGACTGAACAAGCCACAGATCAGGATAGTAACAAGTGTCACAGGACACGGCTCTTTTAACAAACATTTGTTCACCATAGGTGTTACTGATAGGCCCCTGTGCAGGACATGCATGGGAGAGGAAGAAACGGCGGCTCACGTGTTGCTGACATATCCAGAAGTCGCTTCATACAGGGCTAAACATCTCGGCACGCCGGGATCGCTCCCCGAAGTTGCTTGCAACATCAAAGGACTGTTGAACTTCTTCGGAGAAATATTATGGCTCTAATACTACATTATTCCTGCCCACACGCAAAATACGCGCTTAGACGTGGAGTTGCGGAAAACAACCCGTCGTAAACTAAACTAAAAAGAGCGACGTTTTCCCGAGAAATATTGGCACGGCCGGTGTATAAAGCATCACTAGTGCTGTCGTCCACGTAGCAGTGGATGTTACCGGTTTGCAACAAATCATTAATATGCAGAAGAAACAGCGTTGGTGTTAGCACGTAGCCTTGTGAAACACCAGCGTTAATGGACTTGTAATCAAAATATGCATCATCTACTACTACCTTGATGCTCGAATCAGCAAGAAAACTGGTGATCCAATTGCACAATTTCTCGGGAAGCCCATAGGAAGGAAGCTTGGTAAGAGGCGCTTGGCGCCAAACCCGATCGAAGGCCTTCGCTATGTCCAAACTAGCGGCCAACGCCTCCCCCTTGGACTCTACTGCCTTCGCCCATCTATGAGTTAGGTAACCCAGAAGATTACGAGCTGAGCGACCCCGACGGAAACGGTATTGGCGGTTACTAATTAGCTGGAGACCCTCAAGGTATCTCATGAGCTGGCAGTTAATAATTATTTCCATTATTTTGCAGAACAAGGAGGTGATAGCGATAGGCATGTAGTTAGACGGATCTGAGCAGTCGCCTTTTTTATGGATCGGGTGCACTAAAGCCGTCTTCCATGATTTCGGGACTACGTCTAGGGAGTAGTGGTACCGGTAAAGACGCGTTAAAGCCGGTGCCAACTCCGGGGCACACGTCTTCAGCACAATAGGAGAGATGCCATCAGGCTCACACGATTTGTTTACACACCGAGCGCTGGGTAAACAGCACATGCTGCATGAAGCACTCACACGGTCGGTGGTGTGTTCCCCTTCATCAAAAGTCTAGTTGCAAAGAGAGAGCCCAGCAAATCGGCTTTGCCGTTTGCGGCAGGAGCCAGTGAGCCGTCCTCCCTGTGCAGTGATGGGAGAGATGGTTGACAAAAGTTCCCCTGTGACAGACAGCCTTAGCGAGAGACCAGAATGCACGTGTTCCCGAAGGAAGTTGAACTAGTTTCTCGCCAATCCTGCCGATGTGCTCTGACTTTTCCATGGCAATGACACGTCAAAATTAATGCTATATGTTTCTAATTATTGCAAAGGGCATGTAATATATACTTATTTTTTTATCAAAAAATATCAGTAGTTATTTGGTAGTTGTGGTTAATACCAGTAATTACGGCAGATACAAACCTATGATGTTGAGCTTCAGGATTCAAGTCTTAAAACTAAGCTTGTTTCACTTTATTTAAATATTAATGATTTCTTATATTTTCGCGAACACTACACCTTGATTAAAACTACTTTTACGGATTTTATCGCGTTTAATTTTTTATTACCGACGTTTCGGGTGCTTTCCAGCACCCATGGTCACGGGGGACTGAGGTGACTGACGTCGCGATGTCGGTGTTAACCTGGAATACTTTCAAGACCGTAAATAATAATTAAAAAGCTGAAGGTACGAAATAATTTAAATTAAACGCGATAAAGTACGTAAAAGTAGTTTTAATCAATTATTTTAATGTCATTATGTAACTCTACATCACCATAATTTTTTTTTCAGGGTAAGGTTGTAAAAAGTACAGACTTATTAGGGAAATGGTTACTTATATACTTTGGATTCACACATTGCCCAGATGTTTGTCCAGATGAGTTAGAAAAGTTAGCTGAAGTAGTTAATTTACATGGTAAGATGAAAATCTAAATATAAATATTATCTCAAGTGTTGATTGCTACTATTTAAATTTCTGATACAACTAACCTAATAATACCACGACATATATCTTTTGTTTTAGATAACACTCCATCGTCACCTCCTCTACAGCCTGTCTTTATTTCTGTAGATCCAAAACGAGACACTCCAGAAATAGTTGGAAAGTAAGTTTCGAAGTATTACTTTGAATTATTTAATTATTGATTACTATTTGTTTTGTTGATGTCGCCTCTACACGTTGGCCAACACAGTGACGAATGGAGTGGCGAATATATTGGCCGAGAGTTGGTGACGGCGTCCACACGTTGGAAGGTCGTTCAGTTTACTTCGGTTCGGGCCAATGTGCGGACGAATTTATAAGCACCGTGGCGCAGTGGCTCAGCAATGAGTGGCTGCGCCGGGCGCCGCGGCTTTGATCCCGCACGGAACAAGTATTTGTATGTCCTACAAATAATTGTTTCGGGTCTGGATGTGTGTCCTTGTGCAATTTATGTTTGTAAACTGCCTGCGCGATACGGGAGAAAATCCTAGTGTGGGGTTAACGTTTTTATAAAAGAATTATAAAATAATAGTGGTTATTAATGGGGCTGTAAATAGATATACGATATACGATTAGCTTTATTTATTCTTTATATGCATCATAAACTGGAATAAATACCATTAATAAGAACTTAACTTAAGGAGTTATAATCGATTAGTCTATGTTTTAAAATTGGGTTTTTATTTTAAAGTTTAGCAAAATATGTACTTGCATTTCTATCAGACATTTGATGTATATAAAAAACATCCTATAATTTATTTGGTAATTTAATTATTTTTTAAAATACAAAAACAATAGCAATAAATATAATTAACACTGACTTAATAATAGGTACTAATTATAAATTAGAACATAAATAAAAAAACTCATGACGAGCAAAGTGGCTCAGGACCATGCTTTGCGGCAGTCTGTAGAGGAGGATGTTCAGTAGTGGACTTGTGAGAAGAAAAAGAGCTGCAATGATGATGATGATTCGAAAACTTGCACGATTAAATTATAAGAAATCGACGTTTTTTTTATAGGATAGTGTGACAAACGAGCACACAGTTCACCTGATGGTAAGTGGTCTACGTGGCCCATAGAAATCTACATCTATCCTCGATTACGAATCAAAATGCAGATACGTTGTCAGCCGTGAGGACTAAGATGAAATGCCTCGTTTCCTTTAAAAAGGGTCTCTGGTTCTCTACACTCACTATACGAAACACAGCATCATTAATATACTATTACGTTACGCTAATATTCTGTGAGAGCGTGGTCCCTCCCCGGTCGAGCTGCAACTATACTTCTAATATAATTGCATTGTTCTACCACGTATAAACGACGTGCTTCATTTTTTTTCATTTTAAAATTGTTCTCGTAATAATCTGATTGTTAATAAATGTTCATTATTTTTTTTATAAATAGCTTATCGAATAAAACAAATGTTTAAAAATAATTAAATCGCGCTAATTAAAGTAGTATGAATGTTTAAAGTTGAAATTGGCACTAAAAAGGCTGGTAATTGGGTCATCCACCCTACAAAGCATGAATATAAAATTTTAATCAGATGCGTGTAATAAATCTGGGAGCTTGTAGCAAACTAAACTCGCAGCCAACGTGGGGACGCGGCGACTAAACTCTGCCAACAATCCTTTGATCTTTTGTTAAAAACCGACACCACACGGATCTCGCGCCAACTTGCGGGCCATCGTTCCAACACATACCAATGAAGCCCAAACACCCCGTCTACACGTTGGCCAATGCTATTGGCCACTACATTCGCCACTGTGTTGGCCAACGTGTAGAGGCGCCGTAAGACGATACATCGAAAATAAACGCTTAAAATGGTGCCGCCTATTCCACCCCGCGCCCCACTTGCGACAATTTTAAGTTTACGACAATCCTAAAATTTTAAAATTAAATTCGCGCCAAATTCTCAATCGGAGGTCAATGTGCGGTAAACAGAAAGGAACAAGCAAGCTTCGGAGTCGCGACACACTATTTTAATGTTTTTAATATTTTGCATCATTTATTTTCTTGTTGATAATAATATGTACCTGTATATGTCATTGTTGTTGTCGTCATGATAGTTTATTAAAAGAGAAATCAACAAAGTTTACATTTATTTTATTGAAATCATAACTAAATCATAATTTTTAAAACTGATTATATTGTATAACATAATTTATAACTATGTTTGTAATGATATTTTATTCCTCTTCTTTTTTAGAGTCATAATGCACATTTTCTTTATTTTTCTTTTTTGTTACATAATTTGTATCCCGAATTTCGCGTAAAGTCGCGGTTCTACCAATTTCGGTAGGAAGCAGTGAAAATAAAATCAAAGTAATTTTGGCTCCATTTTATTGTTCCAAGATTGGTCATCCTTTACTATTGTTTTCACTTTTATTTTATTACGTCTATACCATACTGCCAATAAGCATTTAGATATTTCGGAAATATGCATTTGTCCTTGAACTTGCATGAACCAATCAGAATTTTTGTTCACCTGGATCTCACCACTTTTTTTATTTACCCGCCAGAAATGCATTTTTCCTTTTATTATGACTTCTTTGATACCGACCTTGTTTGCAATTACGGGACACGTAATTTAAAACAGGGTGTTACTCTTGCTTCCTATAATACCGTCAGGCGTCGCTCCTAAAATGGATGATTTTTATCTATGAACAGACTACAAGAGTCTATCTTTACGTATAGTAAATTTGACAGTTGTTCCTGAACTACTTTTTCGTGCGTTCGGCCGTGGCTTATTGAAGACACGTGTCCAATGTCTGATCTGTGCAACATATTTTTTACTGTACTAGCGCATCTGTTGGTTTTAATTCTTTTGACAATCTTCCCAAAATTAGAGGTTGCAATGATAGAAAAAAAAACTCGTTAATGTCACTAAGAATAATATAGAGCACAGCTACAGCGTCTCCATCGGATTACTGTCCTAATAGTGCGTATTGCGTTGTATAATGACCAACGGAATGTGACCTACACCGACGTACAAAGCTTAGGTTGAAGCAGGCAAGCTTATAGTGGATATAACAAAAGCGTGGAGTCCCGATCTAGATATACGGCCAGTCTATGGATGTTGTCTATATAGGTAGCATTTAGTCAAATGTCATTGTTAAACCCGGAGTACCTTCAGCTTTTTTAATTATTGTTTATGGTATGTATGTAAAAAAAAGCTAAAAAATAAATAAAAAAGCTGAAGATACTCCGGGTTTAACAATGACATCGGGACGTCAGTCATCTCAGTCCCCCGTGACCATGGGTGCTGGAAAGCGCCCGAAACGTCGGGAATTAAAGATAATAGTAAAATAAACGCGATAAAATCCGTAAAATTAGTTTTAATCAATGTGTAGTGTTCACGTAAATATAAGAAATCAAAAGTTATTGAATTGAGTAATCAAAATAATGAACAACTAAATTACAAAATAAATATTGACGTTATGAATATATTTGAGTGGTTCCCAAGCATTCCCATTGGAAGACGTTTTCAAGCTATTGGACTGGAAAGGACATCAATGGCGAGTACATCACTCACCTTCGATTTGCCGACGATATAATCCTTATTGCAGAATCGCTGGAGGACTTAAGCACTATGCTCAATGACCTCAATGGTGCCCCCAACGGATAGGTCTTAAGATGAACATGGACAAAACAAAGATCATGTTTAATATCCATGTCACACCTAAGCCGGTAGTTGTTGGGAGCACTATGCTCGAAATTGTTGACGAGTAGGTACGTTATCTTGGACAAATAGTCCGACTAGGTAAGCGCAACTTCGACCGAGAGGTCAGTCGACGTATTCAATTCGGCTGGGCAGCGTTCGGGAAATTACGACACATCTTCTCGTCAGGTATGCCTCAAACTCCGAAAACTAGATTGTACAACCAGTGCGTGTTGCCAGTGATGACTTACGGATCTAAGACGTGGTCCTTCACTGCTGGCCGTATGAGGACGCACAAGGTCGCTCAGCGAGCTATGGAGAGGGCTATGCTCGGAGTGTCTCTGCGTGATAGACTCAGAAAGAGCTGAAGTGGCAATGGGCCGGCCATATAGCTCGAAAACCGATAACCGATGAGGAAGAAAGGTTCTCGAGTGACAGCCTCGTACCGGTAGGCGTAGTGTAGGGCGACCCGCCACTGATGACCCGGTAAAACATGCAGGAAGTCGATTGAGTGATGACCCGGTAAAACATGCAGGAAGTCGATTGATGCAGGTGGCTCAGGACCGTGCTTTGTGGCATTACTTGGGGGAGGCCTATGTTCAGCAGTGGACTTGTGAAGGGCTGTAATGATGATGTTGATGATTCCCAAGCATATAGATTAAGTAATTTCGTTGTAATTTCAACTATAGTGATTTTTAGAGGTGTTTTCGCAAATAATTATGCTCCAGTCAAAATTATACAATCGTTATTATTGAGCAAGCAAATTCAAGATAAAGATATAATTTACCTATATCAAAATTCCAGTTTCGTTAGTCGTGTCATAGTCCCATACTATTCGATGAAAGGAGGTGCATTTTTCTCGCGGTGTCGCCCTAAGTGTCATAACATTATGGTTGTTTGTTGTTGTTGTTAACTATGATCTCGTCTATTAGGATATAAACGGATGTAGTCAAAATAGTTTTGACATAAACAGATATTATACAAGAATTATGAGATCAGATATTATACAGGATTAACGATATAATGTATAAAGTAAAATAATCCCAAGTTTTAATTTACTAAACACAAGCTTAGAACAACCAAAAATCAAGAAGCTTAAAATTTACTAAACACAAGCTTAGAACAACCAAAAATCAAGAAGCTTAAAATTTACTAAACACAAGCTTAGAACAACCAAAAATCAAGAAGCTTAAAATTTACTAAACACAAGCTTAGAACAACTAAAAATCAAGAAGCTTAACATTTACTAAACACAAGCTTAGAACAACCAAAAATCAAGAAGCTTAAAATTTATGATTTTATTGAATTTGAAAATATTTCTCTTTTAATCATAAACTCATATTTCTGTTGAATAATAATCACTTTATAATAGAAATTATGTAACATCACTGATAACACATCTTGCATGTTGACAGTATAAGTTGTAACCACACCATATAAAACAAACAAACGATTTCTATTGTGATAGCACGTCTTTGCCATTCCGTGTAAATCTAATAAATACCTCATCAAAATATTTTGTTATGGCAAATAAAATACATTATTAATGTTGTAGAATTTGGCTAAAACAGTCTTTACCATACAACCAGCCTTTACATTTAAATAATACCCGTGTTTCTGAATATTTGATTATTACACAAAAGATATAATGTAGACCATTTTCTGTATTCATTTTATATTATTTGTATTACCAGTATGTAAAAATCTTGTTGCCAGGTACTGTAAAGAATTTTCACCTCGTTTCCTTGGACTAACTGGAACTGAAGAGCAAGTACAAAAGGCGTGCAAATCCTACCGAGTGTATTTCAGCGCGGGACCCCGAGATGTTGATAATGATTACATTGTAAGTGAAATTCAAGTTATGTCTTTACTTATGGCTCCTTTTTGGCTTACGTTTACAATGTTCATTTAATTATTAATTAAACGTAATTACGACATTCTGCTTATACACAAGATATTAAAGTTAAAGTTACAGCCTATATACGTCCCACTCCTGGGCACAGGCCCTCGCTCATTTCTGAGAGGGTTTTAGGGCAAGGAATTGTCCACCACGCTGCCCCAACGCGTGATGGCGAACTTCACATGGCTTTCGAAATATTTTTTTTTATTTCTCAGACATGCAGGTTTCCTCACGATGTTTTCCTTCACCGCCGAGCAAGTAGTACATCAGTACTTAAAATTGCAATTAACAATTTCATTGGTACCGGCGGGGATCGAACCCGGTTTGCTCGCGTACTGTGAAATTTACAGCGAGCACTATCTGAGCTACCACGTCTCACAAGATATTATCTTCCATTAATTTAAAATTATACATGTTATTAAAAGTCATCCAATTTCCCGTCCTGTTATCTTAAATGGATACATCATCCTATTTTAAACTTATTTAATGAAACTTATTCTAACCGCCTTTTGGATTAAGTTGAACCACCATTCAAAAATAAGATTTTTATGGTAGGTGATTTCAATCATATAAGGAAGTTATTTCTTTATCAGAAAATTCCTGTAAAAAAGAGCAATTACTACACACGCAAAATAATATTATTTCAATATATTGATAATTTGTGGTTTTGGAACTATTTTCATTACAGACAGAGTACGAACCCCACAACTAAAATTTCGAATCGGAATTTAAGGCTAGGATTTCATATGTTAAGAGGCTCTTAGTGCTCCCTTCTCCGCTGCATTTATATATCTCCAACACAAAGTAAACGTGCGACATTCGGTGGGCAAAAAGTTACTGTATGTGAAAAATTTTGGCTTTTTATCAGGAAATTAAGTATCTAAATAAAACTCAAAAAAGTATCTATAGCAAAAAATAAATAAATTTTATTGACATTGATTTAACATATGTATTGTAAGAACAGTGAGCTAAACAATGCTCGTTTTTTAAGCCGGCACTATGCGGTTTCCAAGCTTAGCATTTCTTAAAATGCATTCTTTAAGAAGAAAAATTATGCTAGATGATTTTTGTAACCTGAGTTAATTTTTTTGAAACTCCTCTTTCAAGGTGCAGTGAAAGATTCCGTACCTTTTTGATAGTGCTACCATACATCGTATATACCAAACATTATCATTTTCACCAATTTGGAATTGAGATCATCAGAATAAATATGGCAATGTTTATTCTGATTAATTATTTTAGAATTAGATTTAGAATTACATTATGTATGTGTGTGTATGTATGTATATGTGATGTATATATATATATATATATATATATATATATATATATATATATATATATATATATATATATATATAATGTACCATAATACATAATACAAGACCATAAATAAATTGGAGTAGATATTTAAAGGGAAAGCTTTGTAAATTCAGCCGTGCACAAATTTCTGTTTTCTGTTAATGTGTGTATATGGCTCTCACGATACAGGTCTGCGTGCCTAGTGTGAGAACCACTGCTAAATTATTTGTAAAGGTGCTTACTGTCAAATAAAGTATTTTTCATTTTTTTTTCATTTTCAATGTATTGTTTCAGGTGGACCACACAATTATTATTTATCTAGTAGATCCAGATGGAGAATTTGTCGATTACTATGGTCAAAACAGAAGTGCAAAGGAAATCCATGACTCGATGCTTGTTAATATCCAAAAATATGAGGCTTCAAAGAACAAGTCATGGTTTTAGCTCAATTTATATAATGCATTTAGGTTTACAAAATAGATTTAGCTAAAGTTAATATTTTGCTGTAATATAAATTATGTTCTAGTATTAAATCTTTATTTTCATTAACTTTCCATTTGGAAGTTGTAATAAGTCTGATATTTTGAATGTTTAAATTTCATCTTATGGCACGAGGTCCTGTTGTGGGGATATGTTCCTTCCATAGCCGCGCCTTAGATATGTGAACGCTGGGCGAGATCACGGACACGAGATTAATTATAACAAGATGTATCCGCCGATAAGACAAGTTTAGGACATTAGTTTTAGTGTATTGTTTTTAATTAAAAACTTAATTGGTGTTCTTGCGTTATTATGCGACAGTTCTTGTAGAACTTACCTGCAGACTTCAGTGATAGTCTACACGAGCTGCTGTACTGCCATATGTTAAAGGAGTCACTGACAAGATTGGCTACATCTTGAAGCGCGCTTCCATCAAAACATACTTCAAGCCGCTGAAGAAGATTGGTCAGTTTTTACCATCGGTCAAGTGTAATGTCCCTCTGCAAGATGCAGGAGTGTACAAGCTTGATTGTGAATGTGGTCTCTCCTACATAGGACAAACTAAAAGATCAATAAAAACCCGCGTTAAAGAACATATAGCTGATGTGAAGAATCGGCGCTCCGGGAAGTCTGCAGTCTGTGAACACGTACAGGATCGCCCCCGTCACTACATCAGATTTGATAGACCGCAGATCCTCGCTAAAGAACACCGATTCCTTCCAAGGATGATTCGCGAGGCTATTGAAATCAAAAAACATCCTAATTTCAATAGAGAAGATGGCTGGGTGCTACCATCTGCTTGGGTTCCTATAATAAATAAAATTAAATCCCAACCCAAGCATACAACTGCAAGACTTCAAGATACCATAAGTTCATACTGCATAGATCGGAACAAAAGTTAAATTTTAATCTATGGTAACCGCGGTTAACTATGACATATGGACGTTGAACATCTCAGTCCTGCCCGTGACCATGAGTGCTGTAAAGCGTTCGAAACGTCGGGTATTTAAAAAGTTAAATATACGCGATAAATTCCGTAAAAACTAGTATTATTTCAACGAGCTTGTTATTTATATGTCCACTGTATTGGAATCTCCAAGGCACTGTTAACGATTTTGTAATTCGACTTAAAGTGGCGGTCATTTCCGGGATACCTGAGATTTTGAGTGAGATTGAGAGGTTTAACAGATACATCGTCATTGGAGCCACACGCTGTAACGACCCAAAATCAAGTCTCACGCGACACTATCACATGGCAGGAAAGCGGATGGAGAACCCTTTAAAGTCTCATCAATTCCGTTCTTCATAGTAGTACTTCTTTAGAGAACGTGGAGCAGAAGTGCGGTGTGGTCGTGTTCTTCAAGAAAGGCAACAACACTTGAAGAACTACAGACAGATTTCCCTTCTGAGATGCTACTACGTGATGTTTTCGAGATCCATTACTAATCGTTTCGCACGCACTACTTCCAGCATCCTTAACAAGCTGGTTTCCAAAAAAGAAAAAGCTTTAGTTCCATAGACAACATACTTACTTACCCTTCGGCAAATTGTACGTGTACAACCTGACACATTATATTGCATATATGGACAATGAGAAAGCTTTTGATTCCGTCGAAATTTGGGCGGTGCCATACTGTTTGAGACGCGCAAAGCTGACTGTCGTTATTTTGTAGTACTGAAGTGTTTATGCATTAGGGCTTCGATGGCTATCTAAAAATAAAGCCTGTCCGACGGAGATGCGGACATTGTAAATATATCAAGTGCCGAACCAAGGTATGAAAACTATCCAACTACAGAGATATGACGTGTTAGACAGTGTAACGACACCGTTTAAATAGCATACAGCTTGGAAACGCCTTTGATGACAGGATTTACTAATAACGTCGTCTTGCGCAAATATGCTAGGGGTTGTCACGAAATCGGTAAATAAAATAATTTCGTATATTACTATACTCATTATCATTAATTTAGTAACATTATGTAAGTACATACTTATAAGTTAAAAACATTTATTAAACAAGATCATTTTTATTACTACAAGAAAAATTCATTTAGTGTTGCAACATTTTCGTGACACTTTTTTTTTAGATGTTTTCAGTTTTCTCTTTAAATTTAATTATGTAGTGTATACTCGAATAAGTACTATTAAACACGCTCGCTTCAACCGCTTGTATTAAAGATGAACACGTAAAAATATACAGGATGTTTGGAAGGTCGATGCAAAGCCGTAAAGCGGAGCTAGTATAGACTATTTAGAACCATTTGAACCCAACTTATCTTAGACGAAGTGCGACTATTTTATTTTTATCAGGCTTTAAAAAATTTTGACGACAAAACCCAAAATTTTGGAGTTAGTTGTAAATTGTGGCCAGTTTTAAAGACAAATCATTTACGTTTTATTTTATTTTATTAAAGTAATGTGTAAACAGTCTAATGGTAACATGATTCAGGCATCTGTGTCATGAAATAAGTTTTTTTTACAGATATTTGAAGTCAATGATTTATTTCAAGATTAAGGAAAGCTGTAATTTGACGGCATTAAAAAAACATGGTGTTGTTTCGTTCGAACATTTTTAAAAACATGCCTGGTTATTGTTCTCTCTTTTGAGGCATCAACTACGCGGATAGCTCACAAATTAATGAAATTAGAGCCTACAAACTAAATAGAGGGTGAAAATTATAATTTATTGGCGAAATAATTAAAACAAAATTTTGTTTAAAATCATTTATTATTCGTGTTCAAAATTTTCGCCGCGGTTCCTAACACAAGCACGGGCCCGTCTTCTCACTTCTGTTGTTGTTATTTTTAACTTCATCTCCAGTTTCATCGTTTCAAACGCTGAATTAATTCTCTCAATTCTTATTTTGTGTTTATTTCCACATTCATTTAGACTAATTCTTTGGCACGACCCCACACAAAAAAGTCCAGTGGAGTCAGGTCGGGTGACCGGGCGGGCCAAGGGATAGGCCCATCTCTGCCTATCCAGCTGTTAGGGAAGCAATTATTTAAGTGCTCTCGTACATTTAATGTCCAACTGTATATGGATATTGATACGAATTCGATACTTTAAAATATCGATATTTTTAACCAAGCCTAGCATGTACATACATGTACATGTACAGCAGACTTAATAGAGTGCACTGGCACACGGTCGCGCTGCCATTGTCCCGCACGGCCCCCGCCGTTACACTGCATAAGTATGTACACACAACTGTATGCTCTAAACAGTGGTAACGATATACCCCTGAAACTCTTCACCGCTGCGTTGGAAGACGTTTCCAAGCTGCTGGTCTAGTAAGAATACGCTATTAACATCAACGGCGAGTACACAGTCACCTTCAATTTGCATACTACATAGCCATTATAGCAGATCGCTGGAGAACTTCAGCACTATGCTTCCAACGGATAGGAAGATGAATTAAAAAGAAGATAAATTAAATGTGTAATATCCATGTCATACCTATTCCAGTACTTGTTGGAAGCACTACGTTGGAAAATGTTGACGAGTTTGTTTACCTAGAACAAATTGTCCGAGGAAGTAAGTTCAACTTCGACCAAGAGGTCAATCGACTGATCCAACTCGGAGTTTCTCTGCATGTTAGACTTCATAATGAGAACATTCGCAGTCGAACCAGAGTAACCGATAGCCAAATGGATCAAAAGTAAGTAAGCTGAAGTGGCAATAGGCCGGCCATATAGCTCGAAGAACCAACATCCGATGAAGAAGAAAGATTCCCGAGTGGCAGCATCGTACCAATAACCGAAGTGCAGGGTCACTCCCTGCTAGATGCAGTGTCTCCGAAGCGTGATTTGTGGCATTCTTTGGGGAGGCCTGTGTTCAGTAGTGATAGATTGTGATTATAGATAAAGATAGATAGATTTGTGATGGACTCTAATGATAATAATGATGATATTTTAATTTACTACTTTTATTATGTACTTCATTTTATTCACTTCTTACGCCCAATTAGTCGTTTGTTTCTAAAGCAATAGAATAATCTTAAATGTGATTAATAAGGGTCCTCACTTGATATAGGAATTGATACATACTATGGGAGAGGTTCAATTTCGTGAAATATGCGCTAGTCATTTTAGGGATACATGCAAATTATAGTCAACCATATCTAAGAAATACATTTTGACAGCTGTCAGACTTATTGCACCAAGTATGCCAATGTGAAATGGGAACGTACCATATTCGATTCTTAAAAAAATCGATATTGATTATTTAGAGTTGGTAATCATTTACAGGTTGGTTTGAATAATACCAGAATAAATTAAAATCGGATAATTTAAAACGCAAGATTTATCAGTTTCTACATATTTGTTGTTACTGCTTATTTCTAGACAGTTATAAAAATTTAAGATTAAAATTAAATTAAAAATAAATTTATTCAATCACTTTCAGTACAACTAGTGGTGCTGTTGTTGTTTAGATTAATTATTATTTATTTTTCAATAATGCAGTCAAAATTAATGTCTCTATCAAAGTCGTCCATAGTAATTTTTTTTTTTTTCACCACTTTTGCCCAATGATCATGAGCACATCCTTCAACGAATATATAAGAATCAGTCCAAAAAGTTAAAGCCGAGTCACAAAATAAGAAGACAAACACAAAATGACGAAATTACGTACAGTAACAACGACTACACAGCCCGAATAGACGCCTCATGAAAGGCGCAACACTTTCTGTCAACACATTAGACAAATACGTCTTACTTAAGAAAACGATCGCGCGATCCACTTTAGTAGCGACCATAGATAAATAAATATGTAGCAAGCTAGTAGCGACCACTTCCCTAACCTGTGAACATCTTGCATGTGACTCGTGAATTTTCGACAAAATAAAATACAACAGACGCGCAACATGGTTCCCTGTACAATAAAATAGTGCGGAAATAGTGGCCAAATGTGTAATTTAAAAAAGTGGCATCACTTTTCCTAGATAAGAGAATTTTTATTTCGAAACTCATTAATTAAAATTAAATCAGAGCTCAACCTACATTTGTCACTAGCAACTCGCGTTGATTTATTCGGACATCTCTGCAGCCGAAGTGGAGTCGGGAGTGATGCGTTACTCGCCCTATCTGCCGCGACTCTGTCGGGGCCGCACCGTTGTTGCGGAGGTGGTAGAGAAAGGAATACATATCTGTATTGGTTATAATATGTCTGGAATATGCTCTTTGATAGATGGATGTCGTGTGCGATAAATTTACTTATTATTTTATATCATAAGGTAGTAAATTATTGACAAATCATTTGAGATATTCCTCACCCGATGACTAGTTTTGGAGTAATGAGTCGTCATAGAAACTGACACATACCATCCAATAATATTAACCCACCAATTAAGTTTTGCCATAGTCGGGTAATAAAACAAAGAAAACGTTATATATATAATTCTATTCGGTTGTTGGATTATAAATTATCTGCCATTTTACTAGTTACTTTACTAATGGTTAATTGTTTACCCGACCTATGTATTTGAACTAGGCTTTGGTCTAACTGATACAGCTTGACAGTGGTGCCCTCTAGCACAGCACTCGAGGCAATACTTACTCCTTCTTCATTTACCGTAACAAAGTTGACGTCACCACTGCAATTTATGTCATTGACAAAATTAACACCATCTGCAGTCAAGCATATATCACTTGTTTGATAATCGCCATTATTTTGCACGTTCTGTACCACTAATATTTCGGGCTTTATATCGCTATCCTCTTGCAATACAACTTCTTCTGTTACTTCTAATGGCATGTCTTGAGCGATTTCTAGCTTCTGATGTTGAACGACATCAAGTTTTTGACCTTGAGCGATATCAAGTTTCTTATTTTTAGCGATATCTAGTTTCTCAGCTTGAGCAATATTTAGTTTCTGACTTGTGGTTGCATCACTTTTAGTATTTTCATCGTCATCGACATCGACATTTGTCGTATCTTTTTTATCTTCGGAACATACTACTTCATTGGTCACGATAATCGAGTTGGTGGTCAAGTCGAGTTCTCGAACTATGTACACTTCCTCTTTTTTCTCTGTTGATTTCTTTTGATTCTGGTGCACTTTAAAGTGTTTCATCAGCCTAGATTTTGTTGCAAATACATCCGTGCAGAACGCGCATTCGTATGGTTTTTCACCTGAAAATAGAATTTTAACTTTGTTAATATATTTAAGTTTTTAGTATATTTTATACTACTGCTAAAGTTACGATTTCAATTGCATCGAATCATCAACAAACAGATCACGGATCGGACAGCTACCCTAAATGTGATATCATGCAGCGGTTACAAAACCGTTTTCATATATGGTTTAAGCGTGATGGTTTTTGAGAGAAACATTTTGTTTGTGTTACCATTTACACTACCACTAAATAAAGTGACGACCTGGTAGGACATGCAGAACTTGATGGACGCAGGTGGCTCAGGACCGTGCTTTGTGCCATTACTTGTGGGATGCCTATGTGCAGCAGAGAACTTATGAAGTTCTGTAATAATAATGAAGTAGTGATGCCAAAAAACATGGTTTAGAGCCACCTGAATCCATCGACTTCCTGCATATTATCTTACCAGGTCGGCACTCCATTCAGCAGGGAACCAAACCACTATTTATTTTAATGAAATATGGAATCTTAAGTATATCAATGTTGGGTATATATTACATAAGAAAGTTAGCTGACACGCGAGTATTGGGTTTTCGTAACTACCTTACTTCAGTTATTACACAAAGTTAGGACTTTGTTTAATAATCGTTATTAAATTAATCCCGTATACTTTCCACTTGCCTATTTATATCTACTTTGTTTGGTATTAGATTCATAGAGTAAGTAAGTACCTTTGGAAGTTTTGAATAATTAAAATTATTGTATGCATTTGCCATTAGGTGGACAGTAAATACGTGTGTCAATTCAATTTAAAAAAAGAAACAATACTTGAGTATGAGCTTGAACATGCGGCTTTATTGCTAAGTATAAATATACGTAGTGTGTACATAGTATATATGTTTACTTGTACACCAAGCGTCTGTATACCTGTTTGTATTTGCCTGTAAGTTTGTGTGCGTGTGCATCTGCGTGAGTGATTTATTGTAAACTAATGATCGCCTAGTCGAAATTCGACCGAAATTTATTAGTTTTTAAGTTTGTAAATTAAGTAAGCAGTATTTTACTTTCAACTGCACATTAAAACACGGATATTTAATATACAAATTAAAAAATAAACACTTTTTTACCTTAAGATATACTCCACAAACCATTGAAAGGGAACATATGAAATCACACTGAATTAAGTGGTATTTATTTGTTGGGGACATTTTAATATTCGTTGGTTACAATTTCTGCTCTGTGCAACTGTTTAACCACAGAAAATTATGTGTTTGACATTGGCAGTATGAACGTTTTATTTATTTAATTTAATGTATTTGCAACAGATTATACATATACATATAAATTTTAGCTTTCTGCACTCCGCTATATAAACTTTGACCCTAAAACTTACAGTCGCCTGTGCGCGCAATATGCTTAAAAAGGAGTACAAAGTTTTACCTTGACATACGATATGGTACAGAAGATGAAGTAGTTACCAGTATGTTGTCGACAGTGGTCCCGCAGCCGCCAGGCGCTGGCGAAGCGCTTGGAGCAGACCGCGCACGCGTGCGGCCGCACGCCCGTGTGCTGCGCCATGTGTGCGCGCATGTCTTGACGCGCGAATCTGCACCAACAAACGTGTACCATCTATATTCTAAAATCCCCCGCCGCGTCTCTCTGTATGTATGAGCACGTTAATCTCGCAAACTATCTGTTTAACCACGTGGAAGAGTCACGCTACAGATACATTTTGGTTGTAGCAAATCGGTCGGTTCGACCGGAGAAAGACCAGGCAACCATATAATAGCAGCTTAATGCTGCTGTGTTTCATATAAAGTGTAGAGAACCCCAGACCCGTATCTACTGAAAATGAGGCATTCCATCTTCATCCGCAGGGTGACAACGCAGCCGCATTTTGATTCTTAATTGAAGACAGATGTAGATGTAGATTTCTGTGGGCCACAGCATCTACTTAGATACCATCAAGTGGGTCGTGTGCTCGTTTGTTAATTTCATTCTATTAAAAAATTACTAATGTCGGGACTTTCATTTGGTTCTCACCATAGACAGACTGATTCACGAGAAACTTTTAGGTATATAATTTGTGAATATTTTGTGCACAATAGCAATAGCAATGTGATGTTTCTAGATTTAAGCTTAAAAAGTCGTGCTTCCTGGGAACTTCAAAAACTTGTACTGCGTAAATACATTCATGGACAAATTTAAAGGAACTCAAACAACAGGTTTCATTTCTCTTGCTGTAATTATCGTGCGTACTGGACACAAACATTAGTATGTTAGGCGGCGCTGTCGTCGCGCCACAAGCGAAACACGAAGCATAAATCGCGCTATCAAAGTTCCGAATTAAAAACAGTATATATAGAATAGCTCCGAACTACCACTTGGAGTGTTGGCTTCTCCCCGGGCACAACACCTTGCCCAGCGGAAGATCTCCCCTTTTCCTTTTTTCATTCCACGGCCACATATGTTATTAAAAAAATAATTTTTTCGAATTTAATTTGCTTCTATGTGATTATTGCGTTTTTTCATACTGTGAAAAATTTTGTCAACTTTGGAATTTGAGTTTAACATATTGATTTCTTATATTTACGCGAACACTACACATTTAGTTTTTGTTTTTTTTTTTATTCACTCTTGTTGGATAGGCTAGAAGATCTTGGAATAAGAAATACACAGCTGAAACTTTTCTCTGACTACTTAACGGATCGATATCAGAGGGTAAGGATTGGTGGTTGCTACAGTGATGACCTTCCCATATCATATGGTGTACCACAGGGTAGTGTGCTTGGTCCCACGCTATTTCTTACATATATTAATACACTATGTAATCTAAAAATTCAGAATGGGAGGATCATTGCCTTTGCGGATGACACGGCTCTTCTTTTCCAGGCAGATACATGGTCTGAGGTATTTAACTTCGCACAAAAAGGGTTCGGTTTAATAACTAAATGGCTAAAAGAATCTAAACTTACATTAAATGTACGATAAAACAAAATACATAGCATTCACTACCCAAAACATCAATGTATTTGAGTTAAAATACTTTCACATTACAGCTCACTGCTGCTCCCAAATTTAAAGCTCTTGCTCCTGTCCTACCCTGTCTAGAACGAATTGCATAAAATATCTTGGTGTAATGATAGATAACACCCTAAGCTTTCACCTTCATATTGGCCTCTTAAGTACAAGGATACGTAAGTTAATTTGTATTTTTAAAAATCTACGTCGTGTTGCAGATTTTAATGTAAGAAAAATGGTATATTTTGCACTGTGCCAATCATTGTTGACATATTGCATTACCATCTGGGGAGGAGCACCTAAAACGACCATATTGCAATTAGAAAGGGCTCAGAGGGCACTATTAAAAGTTAGCAATTCTCTTACATTCCGTTGTCCTACAACTGACCTTTATCAATATTGTAATGTCTTATCTGTTCGTAAATTGTTTATATTGCACACTACGCTGCTACAACATTCTCTTGTACAGTATGAGTCCTCCTATAATAATGACAAAAGAAGGAAATATGTAGTTTGTCCCAGTAAGCTTCTAAAGACAAAATTTTCGCATAAGCATTTTTGCTTCCTGGGAGGTTACCTTTATAACAAATTAAATAAACTTTTACAGAAGTATATGGATGCTGAAAATTTACTGAGAGTATTATCCATACACACACACACACACACACACACACACACACACACACACACACACACACACACACACACACACACACACATACATCACGCACGCACGCACGCACACACACGCACACACACACACGCACACACGTACTCATACACACTATTACACATATAGAAATAACTTTAAAAACAACATATGGCATCTTTCCTTGTTGAAATATTTCTTATTCTTGTATTTCTCTTGTAATATTGTTTAACTTGTTTTTTGTACACACTTCTCGCGTTCCTCTGAATTTGTCTATGAGAGATGTCAAATTAAATTACACAATCTATAGAGGAGGTCTAAGTTCAGCAGTGGACTTTGATAGGCAGTATAAAGTACGGTCTACTTCCTTCACAATATGTACTACGTTATCAAAAATCATTTAGTTCAGTAATCATCGTAGATATTTCTATTTTTATATATTTTTAATATGTATATCTTTATTACCACCGCCTACATACTGGTATTGCTACCCTAAGGTTGATTGATATAAAATGTATTTAACATAATATAACATAACCACTCATGCGTGTCACCCAGAGGGGTAGGCAGAGACTACAAACTTCACTTTGGCACGTACATACCTTTCCCGCCTCCTCCACATCCATATACCTACGCATACATGCTCGTCGGTTAAGGGTACTCCTAATTTGGCCCGTTTTATCCCAATATATCGCCAATTTGTTTGATAAACTTTCACCTAGGACGTCCCTTTCCGACCAAAAATATATTTATAAGGTTTATAAACATTAGATAAATAAATGAATATGTTATGACTAATGAACATATTATTTGAAATTATTATAATAAATTATAATAAAAAATAAATAAAAAGAACATATTATACGAAATTATTCGCATACAAGAATTTAATTATTCAAATCGTTATTAAAACGATAACACATGAGCAGCGATCACCTTTTCTTTTTTTATCATGGGGAAATGCCTACGCATACCCGCCTCGCGGGTGCAAGGATGGGTTATGTCGGACTCGCACCGACTAAAACCCCATGGTGTTCCACCTTCGTCGCATATTGGCAGGGCTACGGGAACGCTTTCGCACACATCCGCGGCCCCACCAGCGACTGCCGCCCCATGGCAGCACCTTATCGGGAGAGGAATATTCCTCCCCGTTCTCCTTCCCAAGTAGGGCGCACCAGAACACATGGCACGCCTTCCTCCACGGCCTCCAATTACATCTGCGCAACAGACGCCCCCGCGTCCGATGCGCGAAGGCCATGGGGCCAGGAAAAACGAGCACTTAGTACTTAGCCTTCCCGACCCCAGCGGCGGATCTGGTCTATGGCTCCGCCGCCAACCAAGATTCGGCTGCGGAGGATAGGGAGAGCGGCGCCTCGCAATACCGACAATTCTCTCCCCCCGCAGCCCCATCACCACCGCATCAACGGTGCGGCCCCGTTTGAGTCGCGGAGGATAGGGCGAGTGGCGCATCGCCATACCAACACTCCTCTTCCTCCGCGACTCCACCTCGGCTGCAGCGGTAGGTGGGGAGGACACACCTCTCACCGCAGTCCACCAACACACATCCGAAGTGGGCTTCCCAAGCCCACTCGGAGTAGCCACCTCGGGCCGGCCCTCCACCTCGGACCAGCCATATGGGTTCCTCTTTGTTTCGCCGTGGGTGACCAAGCCACGGCTTCTAAGCCCCCCGCCACGACAAGGCGGTAACCCGTTCGGGGGGGGGGGGAGCAGCGATCACCTTGCAGTCAAGATTCAGCAAAAACCAAGCTAAGCGAGTGTGTTATGTATATTATTATGAACAATTGTTCGGCTTCATCGCCACTTACTATCAAAATAGTAGTCAAATACTGGCTTATAGCAAAAAGGTGACAAACAAGCACACTCCTCCTGATGGTAAGTGGATGTTGTGGCCCATAGAAATTTACATTTATCCTCGATTTAGAATCAAAATGTAGATGCGTGTCACCCCTGAAGACTAAGGAATGCCTCGTTTCTAGTAAAAAGGGTCTCTGGTTCTCTACACACTTAATACGAAACACAGCAGCATTAAGTCTCTATTTCATGATGGTATTTTGTGAGAGCGTGGTCCTTCCCCGGTCAAGCCGACCCATTCATGCTACAATAATATAATGTCCTCCAGACCGAATTCCGGACACGGCGGCCTGCCTCAACGGAGACTAGCCATCGGCGCAGGACAGGATTATAGTGCCTTACTCTCATAGTCCGATGGGACGGTAAACCGACACGACCGGAGAGAAATCAGGCGCAGGACCAACGGCTTTAAGTGCTTTCCGAGGCACGGGGGTGAGACACCGCCAACTTCCTGACTCCGGGCAACTATTGGGAATTTCTCGACGGAAACTCAATAATTAATTTTTTGGCCCGACCCGGGATTCGAACCCAGGACCTCACAGATCAGGAGGATCAGCAGTCAGTCCCATTACTACCACTAGACCAACGAGGCAGTCAAACCGTAATACAGTTGCAGCATGTCTTTACCACGTAAAAGTAAAACTTAATTAACTCTATAAACTTTAGTACTTGTTCAACATACCTCTTCTCGCAAACTGGACAGGCGTAGGGCTTGTCTCCGGTGTGAGTCCTCACGTGAGTCTTCAATGATGAACCCGAAGCGAATTTGCGGTCGCACATCTTGCAGGAATACGGCCTCTCTCCTGAAACAAACCGTAATAAATATAAATAATATAAAGTTCGAGCTCCGCCTGAATCCATAATAGGAACGGTCAATCGGTCATCGCCGTACTGATCCGAGTGAATACATAATTTCTATAAAAACTTGAAAAAACGCCGTCATAGGGTCTAAAATAGCGTGGCGCCCGCGACGATTAAAAGCGCTTAGAAATTGTCAGAATCTTAAAATATATTTTTTTTTAAATATATTGATTTAAGTAATCAAAATAATGAGCAAGTAAATTATGAATATTGATCTTATGAATATATTTGAGTGATTCCCAAGCATATAGATTAAGTAATTTCGTTATAATTTCAACTATAGTGATTTTTTAGAGATGTTTTCGCAAATAATTATGATCGAGTCACAATTATACAATCGTGTTTTTTGAGCAATCAAATTCAAGATAAAGACATGAATTTACCTATATCAAAATTCCACTTTCGTTAGTGGTGTCATAGTCCTATACTATTCGATGAAAGGAGGTGCATTTTTTCACGGTGTCGCCTTAAGCCGTTGTTAAAATGGACTGGGTCTCTAACAAATGATGTTACATTCTACACATTCACAACTCCAAATTGTATACTTTTGTAGCGTAAATAGTGGTCCACCGTTAAGGATTCGATAATACAGATAATTTACTATAACATTATAATTTTAACCATTTTTACCCAAGAGTTCCCGTATTTTTTTTCGAAGTTGCTATCTTTTTGTTTTGTTGTTGGTGTTTGTTATTTTTGTAGTAGTTTCATCAAAAACCATTATTTTTTCATTTTGATTTCTGTTAATAACTGCTGAATACTAGAGCAATCGTGAGAAAGTATTGTTTTTTTATGTAAATTTAGAGCTTTTGAATAAAAAAATAAGTTCTCCTCTATTGTAACCCTAACTTTTTACATATAATGCAAATTCAAGTTACACTGTTAGTGCACATTCATTTAAAAATACGTCTACTTAATACCGATTTCAAAATGGTAATACAATAACGGGTCCTATAGTTTAACAGAAAGACATAGAATTATAAATGAAGAGAAGATAAAGACTAATTTAATGAATATTGTGAACTGCGAACCTGTTATACAATAAGAGACAGCGCAAGTCAGCGCCAAAACGTTATTTGGGATGTGTATCAATGTGACAATGCTCTATACGGCCGAAGCTAGCTGATCGTGTACAATAGTCTCTTTGTATCGTATGTTCACATTTATACTAAAATTAGAAGGAACCCTTCGATCAACAATACCAACTAGATAACGGGTCACGTACAAAATCATAACTCAATACTGTCCAAATGAATATAAACTATGAAAAACATAAATTAAATAACATTTAGTGTGAAATCAACTTTAAGTTATAACAAATAAAGTTCTTTTTCTCGTTATTGCCTTGCGAGCTACATTCTCACGTGCAAGAGCTCACGTTTCATGTGAAATGAAAATGAAAATGTGCGCTCTTATTTACTGAGATGGAGTTCTTGCACCGACCCGATATCTAGTTGGTATTGTTGATCGAAGAAGGAACCCTTAGAAGTTGAAAATAAAGTGGATCGTATTGATTTTATACCGCACATGTTCATATCCGAGCAACCCCTAATGCGAACACTGTAGTGTAGTAAATAGCCCTCAAGACAATAGACAAATATCAGTGTTAAGTTTAGAATTAAGAGTATTCTAATTGAAGTTATAGACAGAACGACACGTCTTCTCTCATTTACACCATCCGATATTACATGGCGTCCCAGCCAGGATGTACAGGAAGAACGTTGGTTTAATTGAAATTCAAGCCAGGAACTCAAGATTCGCTTGTCTAAGCCCACTTATAAACGACGGGGGAGGTCTTTAATCATTGCGAAAGACATCAAACCCCTATTAAATATAAAAGTGCGGGGCAAGTAAAATGCCGATTAGGTTGTTAATTGGGCCAATTGGGTAGCTTTTTCGCAGTTCTTAACACTCGCAGATGTCATAGGTTGTTTGCGGAAAGCGAAAAACTATATAAGTCGCTTTCCGAATAACTTATCACAGCCGCGTTCCCAAACAAATAAATTTGTTTAACCTAACATTCTAGGTTAAACAATTTTATTGCGAAAAAGATGTAAGAACAATCGCGATTAATTTACCTATAATTAATGATAATATTTTCTCGTTAGGACATATCTTAACGAGAAAAAATTATGTCTACGAATATAAAGTAAATGGTTTTATTCAATTGTTCGTACTGTTCTTACGTCTATAGATATATTTAACTTGAGGTTGACATCGATCCTTATCGTTCGACTTAAAGACAAGATTTCCATACATTCCTGTAATTGCTATTAGAATATCAATTTTCTGGAATGTTCTCGCGTAAACGTGATGCAACATGTAACTGACTAACAGAACATTATAGTCGTAACTGTGAATGCTGATCGTTAGGTTCAGAGTTCGAATCCCCAATCTGGAAATCTCTATCTAATCTATAATATCTTAAGTTTTTCTATCAAGAAGTTCTCAATAGCAGCTCGTAGTCAGGAAGTAGGCGGTGGTTCACCCCGTGCCTCGGAAAGAAATTAAAGCCGGTAACCCTGCGCCTGATCCTCTCGGTCGTGTCGGATTGTCAGGCGCAGCAGCTGCAAGGACACACGCGATCAACAAGGACAACGACGTAGAACGATCCTCTCGGTCGTGTCGGATTGTCAGGCGCAGCAGCTGCAAGGACGCACGCGATCAACAAGGACAACAACGTAGAACGATCCTCTCGGTCGTGTCGGATTGTCAGGCGCAGGAGCTGCAAGGACACACGCGATCAACAAGGACAACAACGTAGAACGATCCTCTCGGTCGTGTCGGATTGTCAGGAGCAGCAGCTGCAAGGACACACGCGATCAACAAGGACAACAACGTAGAACGATCCTCTCGGTCGTGTCGGATTGTCAGGCGCAGGAGCTGCAAGGACACACGCGATCAACAAGGACAACAACGTAGAACGATCCTCTCGGTCGTGTCGGATTGTCAGGCGCAGCAGCTGCAAGGACACACGCGATCAACAAGGACAACAACGTAGAACGATCCTCTCGGTCGTGTCGGATTGTCAGGAGCAGCAGCTGCAAGGACACACGCGATCAACAAGGACAACAACGTAGAACGATCCTCTCGGTCGTGTCGGATTGTCAGGCGCAGGAGCTGCAAGGACACACGCGATCAACAAGGACAACAACGTAGAACGATCCTCTCGGTCGTGTCGGATTGTCAGGCGCAGCAGCTGCAAGGACACACGCGATCAACAAGGACAACAACGTAGAACGATCCTCTCGGTCGTGTCGGATTGTCAGGAGCAGCAGCTGCAAGGACACACGCGATCAACAAGGACAACAACGTAGAACGATCCTCTCGGTCGTGTCGGATTGTCAGGAGCAGCAGCTGCAAGGACACACGCGATCAACAAGGACAACAACGTAGAACGATCCTCTCGGTCGTGTCGGATTGTCAGGAGCAGCAGCTGCAAGGACACACGCGATCAACAAGGACAACAACGTAGAACGATCCTCTCGGTCGTGTCGGATTGTCAGGCGCAGCAGCTGCACGAACACACGCGATCAACAAGGACAAACGTAGAACGATCCTCTCGGTCGTGTCGGATTGTCAGGCGCAGCAGCTGCAAGGACACACGCGATCAACAAGGACAACGTAGAACGATCCTCTCGGTCGTGTCGGATTGTCAGGCGCAGCAGCTGCAAGGACACACGCGATCAACAAGGACAACAACGTAGAACGATCAGTCCCCCCCCTCGTGACCATGGGTGCTGTAAAGTGCTCGAAACGTCGGGAATAGAAATAAGTTAAATACGCGATAAAACCCGTAATAACTAGTTTTATTTTTAATGTGTAGTGTTCGCGTAAATATAAGAGATCATTGTAAGAGTTACGATGTCTTGGATTATATTAATTTCGAGATCCTCTCAACGGCTTCTCCATGGAGAAATTCTCTAAATTACGTTTTTTCTATTATAATCTGCTTCATCGTTATTAACATAAATTAGTTTATACTTTTAAATTAATCAAATTGGATATAAAAATTAACTAACAGCACTTAAGCAAATACTTTGAAGTTGTTAAAAACATTCCTAAGATATAACAAAAAGAAATATGTCTAAACTATCGCCATTTACAGTTGAATAAAATCGAACATGGTTGAAACATGGTTGACTGCCTCGTTGGTCTAGTGGTTGTAGTAGTGCGACTGCTGATCATGAGGTCCTGGGTTCGAATCCCGGGTTGTGCCAAAAAATTAATTATTGAGTTTTTTCCGTCAAGAAATTCTCGTGTTTTACCCCCGGGCCTCGGAGAGCACGTAAATCCGTTGGTCCTGCGCCTGATCTCTCTCCGGTCGTGTCGGTTTACCGTCCTATCGGATTATGAGAGTGAGGGAATAGAGAGTGCACCTGTGCTTGCGCATACACTTGGGCACTATAATCCTGTCCTGCGCCGATGGCTAGCCTCCGTTAAGGCAGGCCGCCGTGGCCGAAATTCGATCTGGAGGACATTATAAAAAAACTTGAAATCCATACCAGTGTGTGTGCGCATGTGCAGTACAAGGTTGGAACGCTGAATGAAGGTCTTTCCACACGAAGCACAGATGAATGGTTTCTCGCCCGTGTGTGTCCGATGATGGGTGTTCCGTGTTGACTCATGTCGGAAACTAGCAAGTAGTTAATACATATTACGTTAATAATGTGTGTATGTTATTATAAACATATTATCTTTAATATTGTTACCTAAATACATTAATAACAGATGTTATCAATACTAAAAATAAAACATATTCGCCAATTTCATTTCGCATGTGGCAGTTTTAGTAGTAACGAAGCAATCCATGTAACTTACTCAGGGATTACAACGCATTTTCATTTTGATTCTTAATTTTGCAATTAGATGTCTATAGATATCTAAAGGACACATCATTCCTTGACCATCAAGCTCGCTTTTCACTGGGGGATATAATATACAGGGTGTTAGTGTAAACACCGTTATCCTTGAAACCAGTGGTTTGGTTTCACTTACAGAACATAAATTTAATGAAATTTTTTTTTTCTTATTCTCATTTGTGTCCATAATAAGATCACGGTTTAAACCTGATTTTACTGTACCGGGCGCAGGTATCCATGAATTTACGAACGGTGTCGGACAGAAACTTTTTAAAATTTATGAAAGAAAATAGCGTTTTTTTAAATTCGGATAAATATTTTTATATTGTTACGAGCTTGAGGTTTGTGACAATAAAAACTGCCGATTGAATTACCAAAATTTACACTTTAATTTTCTTTACACCAATTAAAACTTAAAACACTAATAATTAATCACACTGATTCACTTTATTCCGCTCCGAAGCTTCGCTTGTCTCGCCAAATTCAATACTGCCCCAATCGCGTCTTGCAGCGCCTTTAAATACGCCTTTTTCACCGAAACATCCAGAATATTCCAGTAAATAAGGGGCCACGACCGACCAGGCGCAGAAAGTTCGAGTGTGGGGCTTCTAGAAAGGTTAGTTCTTCAATTCGATACTAGATGGCGTTGTTGGTTGAAAGATTAATCATGGCATTTTCTGGAAAGCTCTCCTTGCTCTGTTACCCGACACTAGATGGCGCTAGTGCCAGGTACCAGCCGTCCACTTAGGCGCGCAACAATATTAAAGCCAACTACCCATGGTTTTAGTGACAACGGTGTTTACACTTACACCTTGTATATCATATTCCGAGATATCAATTATATCCTGCGACTGGCATTCGCATTGTGAGATGCATCTTTTAATTTAACCAGTGTGCATTCGTCATTGAATCACACAGCACGCGTCGCTTACATACAAAATTGTCTTTTTTTATAAAATGGAAATTGTTTTGCTAGATAGCCTCGACAGTTAATAATCAGAGGAAGATGATGCAGAATTTGATTTACGTGTTTTACTTTTAAGTGAAAACAGGGAGCGTCGATACTTGATATCAAATCATATATTAAAGTTTACAGAGAAATATGCTAAATTTAGACTTTTTAATGAATCGAATGAAGAAAAGTACGCACTACCAAAGATTACTAAGAGGATACTACGCACACTACGCACAAGTTCACTCAGGTAATGACTATACTCATTTTATTATATTATACTTTGGTAATGACAGATCTGATAGACATGAACTTGAGGACGTAGCAACGGCGTGGAACGGTGTGCGGGCTACAGGCGGCGAAATATAATATGAAAATATTGCTCGATCGGGTAATATTTATAGTATGAGATGTAATATAAATTACATTATATATAATAGTAAAAACGCGAGCTTCAGGGTGGAGTGCGTGTGTAGCAGAGTGCTTCACCTCTGTTATCATTATTATTAGCATCACACTAACACCGCTGAACATAGGCCTCCCCCAAGGAATGCCACAAAGCATGGTGCATCTATCCTTACTTCTATGCGCAAGCACCCTCACACACACGCACACGCACGCACGCAAGTACGCGCGCGCACGCACGCGCGTACACACACACACGCACGCACGCACGCGCGCACACACACGCACACGCATATACAAAGAGAGAGACAGCGTCTTACGTCTTGTCGCAGTACTGGCAGGCGTAGGGCTTGCGGTCGGAGTGCACGAGGCGGTGCGAGGCGAGCAGGCGCTGCGACGGGAACGACTTGCCGCAGCTGCACACGCACGGCCGCACGCCGCTGTGCCTAGACATGTGTGACGCGAGGAGCGCGCTCGTATTATACCTGCGAGCAAACACGCCTCCTCTTTATTCTACAATACTTAACCGCAAACACAATATAATAGAAATACTATTTTAATTAAAAATCTTCTCCTCATCATCTTTTTCTCTTTCACCAGCTCGCATAATCCATAGCTGAACATAGGCCTCCCCGAATGTAGAAACAACTTGCCTTTACCGTCATGCATGGCAGACAGATGGACGAACGCAGCACTAGACGTCTCGCACTTTCAACGGTGCAAAACTTCGCTGGTCATTTCACTTTACAGATTTACACTTAATGCGAAGAGTCTGTTATATCACCGTCCATCGAAAGCAATAAGATTGTGACGACTTCGATCTCGTAGCCTCTTTAAAAAAAATAGAATATGGGAAAAAATGAGCACGGCAAGTGTCGACCGCCGCCTATGAACAACTGCAACTGCGTTGGAAGAAAGGGGAAATTGCAGACGGGTTGTCAGTCTTTTAAAAAAGGAGTAACCTTTTTGCTTGCAGGTCTCGTAAGTCGTATCCGTTCGGAAAAATCGCCATCAGCAGATAGTTCCACAAAAAGAGGAATTTTTTGCGCACTGAGCACTGTGTAAACTGTACATCCAACATTACATGGCACTCACACCGCGTGATGGTCGGCGTTTTGTTTCCTCTTTCATCGAGAGTCGAGTTCGACGCAAAAAAAAGAGCATACGAGATTGGCTTTCTCCTTTGCAGCATGGACCAGTAAATCGTCCTTCATGTGCAGAGATGGAAAAGATGGCTGACAGAAGGTCCCTTGGACAGCCTGGGCGAGAGTCCAGAATGCACGAGTCTAATTTCTAACCAATTCAGTCGATGTGCTCCGATTCTGCCCTGGCAATGCCTCTTTTGAAAGACCTGGAGGCGGAATTATAATTCTTTTTAAAAGTGCTGGTGTTTGCATTCTGGGACGTCCATGCCCGGTACCACACCTGCTTATGGCGAAATGCAATTTTACAGGAACGACCTATCCATGGCTTGGTTCTGCCTCCGATGGGTACCACAGACGATGGAATAAAAAATTCCATTTCCTAAAGTACCACATCAGCGACAGAATCAGTAACAAAAGAAAATAAAGAAAAGAGAGCCTAGAGGGGATTGACGGAGACCTGATGTCCGTCCGAACAAGAGGTCAAGAAATGGTTCAATAGGAAGGTAAATAATCCTCAATATCTGGAATCCGCGTAGGCGAAGTAACCATTTGTGTCAGATGCAAAGGCCATGTTATAAACAGATCTCCCCGCATGATCGATTTAAGGAGAACCAACAAACCATTCAGCATGTTGAGCGTTAAAATGGCCACGACTTCTGCGGATGGGATCTGTTGTAGCACGGAGTCTGTAGTCATTTCGATCCTCATATATATCCATGGGACGAAATGAGATGATGGATTAACTCAAGCCGCTACAACAGATCAGATAACAAAATGGACTCTGATTACAAGTCCGATACACTTAGTAACACAAAACCACAGACAATATGGTGATGAGTCGGTGGTCGGGAAGAAGAAAATTTGTTGCTCGCACGCCCAACAATAACTTAAAAAAGTGTTATTGTGAATTGAGTGAATTTACAAGGCTAGTTATAAAAAACACACGTAAAATATTTTTATGAGCTGTAAAATGTAATCTAATTTATAAAAATTAATGTTTGTTTGTTCATATTTTAGGCGCTGCCATACCAATTAAATTGCGCTAAAACTTTGTCAACTTATTGCTTGCATTTGCGTGAAGGTTATAGGCATAGTACAATTAACTTAAACTAGGTGGCGCGTTTATTGGAAAACTTTTCCATGAATGTATTATCATTACTTGTTAAAAATAGTATTTCCACAATTATTTTTTCTACGGCAGCAACGCGCCGGGTACCAGCTAGTTTTTTATAGTAATTGTATAGTAACACCAGTGATGAAGCCATGATTTATTGCCTCCAAAAACATTACTTTTGTTTATTTTTTAAAATAAAAGTCTAATTTTTAGGATGGACAAGCGATCAAGTTTTCAGATATTATAAAATATACCAAATACAAATTATTTGCTATACTATCTCGCAAATACTCAAACGATGCTCAATTTTGCTGTTTGCTTACTCTATCACTAAGTTAAAGTGACTGTGGCACCACGACACTTTTACACATGACATTTTAAAATTGAAAAGCGTTTGAGTATTTAGCCATAAAGTATGAACCATAGAATACTATAATACAAATAGAATGACTGTCAACCTTATTTTGTAGAGAATAGGCGTCGCCGGGAGCACACATACAAGCAATTACGTCGTATTATCAGTTAATTACTACTACAAACCCGATTCGCTGTGTTGACAGACGGATTTTAATACATATTTATTTGTAAATAGTATGCAACTTGGCATTTTCTAAATAATTTGCATACGAAATTTGGAAACGATTGTAACGTCAAAACACATCTCATGTTGATATTTTACGTGTGAATTGACGTGTTAGTGACATTTTAGTGGCTACACGGGCTCCGCCCACTCCCCCGTTCTATTATGTATGTAATAATAATGACCAGACCGAATTCCGGCCACGGCCTCAACGGAGTGAATCGTTATTCTACCCTTGATGGGAGTAAACCGACACGACCGGAGAGAGATCAGGCGCAGGACCAACGGCTTTACGTGCTTTCCGAGGCACGGGGGTGAGACACCGCCAACTTTCTGACTCCGGGCAACTACTGAAAATTTCTTGACGGAAAACTCAATAAATAATTTTTCGGCCCGACCCGGGATTCAAACCAATTATGTATTTCTTATAGTATTGTATGGTATGAATAATGATAGCAAGTTCCGGGCCATACCTCTTGTCGCATATGGTGCAGGCGTGGCGCTTGTCGGGCTGCTCGCCGGTGTGCACTCGCGCGTGGCGGCGCAGCGCGTAACGCTCGGCGAACGCCTTGCCGCACGCGCCGCACTCGTGCCGCTTCGTCTGCATGTGTCGCTGGATGTGTCGCCGCAGTCCAGATCTAACTGTACGTCCAAACCATAGTGATCCTCCAGCTCAGCGATAATAATAATAGTATAGTGTCGGAGGATACTTTGTAAGTGCAAAATTAATTTTCATTAACCCTTGTCGCATGCGTCTGTCAAATCCCGAGCTCACCCACCCAAAGCACTTTAAACCATTAAAACTTATATTTAAAGACTACTTTTCTATGAAGAACTTTGGGATTATAAAATCTATCCAAATTCTCTATCCTGTGGTCTAAAAAGTCAGGGTTTACTTCATTACAAAAAGACTTTTTTGATAACCAAAAACGGGTATATAACAAACGGATGTCGGCAACGTGAAAATCAATATTATATTACTCGATATTATTTACTTAAAAAGATAAATTATATTCACACAAAAAGTTTTATAACAATTTTATAATAAAACACTATAGTAAAACACTAATGAAACACTAGAAAAATCCAAAAATCAACACAGCAACATCCAAATAAAAATGGCGTACGTAATGAACGTAGATTATAAATAAATATCCACAGACTAACTGACTTTTTATTGCACTAGAGGATAGAAAATTTCATATTGATTCTATAATGCCAAGCTTCTTCATAGAAAAGTAGTCTGTAAATATAAGTTTTAATGGTTTAAGGGCATGCAAAAGTTTTAATACTTTGACAGAACAATTAGACATACATTTATTTCAGACCGGTCTTCGTAAACTAAAGACTTTTTTTAATACTACTAGATCGCCAAATTTCCAAGTCTTTATTGCAATAAAATTACTCAATATAATGTCCAGTTCTATTAATTATTCAAATATTTTTCTTACCTTCAAATGTCTTATGGCACTCGATGCAAATCCATGTGGCACTTTTTGCATGCAAACTTGAATGCAAACGCAAATCATGCTCGGAATTAAATGACTCATTGCATTGGTCACAGTCGTGTGGAAGTTTCTCTGACCCATGTTCGCTTTTGATGTGGGCTTTCAATGTCTTCGCTTTTAGAAATTTCTGAAAGGGAAGAAAACCTTGAATAAAAAATTGAATTCACACATGGCCTCACGAGTTCTGTATTAACTAAACTAACAAGTTGTGTATTAACTAGAGATGCCGCCAATACTCGCTATTCTTCGGTATTCTGCGTTACTCGGCATTTTTGTTATTCGTCGAATAGCGAGTAATAATGTTCATTATTCGATATTTGCCGAATAGTTGTCTCAATAAAATAAAGTTATATTAAATGGACAGAACAACTATAGATAGACAAAATAATTTCTTGTATTTGTCTTTTAAACAAAACACAGTATCATCATTAAAAATATATAAGTTAGCAAAAATCAGTCGCGTTGAAGTTAATAAGGCTTTTTAATTAATATTCAAAGTCTAAAAGAGGTAGATTGTGGTTCAGAAAAACTAACTTTTCTGCACGACTGGGATCGATTCGGTTGCGCTTTTGTCGTAAACTAAACCTGTCTCAGAAAATAGTCTTTCTGAATAAACAGAGCTTGCTGGTGTGACTCAAAATTGGAAATAGATTCTTATTGGTACTCAAAGATCACCATACAAATGGGTTTGTACTACTGTCATCCTTTGCTAACCTGATGTAGTTGGCAATTTCATCAACATTATTGGCATTATTGGATTACTCTTCATTAGGCTGCTCTGTTCTCGTAGATTTAGATTCTTCGAAACATGCCCAAAATAGTTCATGAATTTCTGAAACGACATCCCCCTTTTCATTGTCTAAGCGACATCATTTGGACGCCATTTCTTACATAAAATGAGGTTATTCCCGTAAAATATGTTACGTACAACAAGAGTTGCCATGATAACAGTCACAATCTTAGATTTTTGTAGATTACAGTAACATATAAATGATAGGTAAGTTCAAGAGACTATACCTCTGTAATATTACTATTTGATGACAAATAAATTATTTTCTATATTCCTTTTTTTATGTCGAATAATAATAGCGAATATTCAACTATTCGCCATGAGGAATGGCGAGTACTAATCGGTATTCGACTATTCGCCTTAACCTCTTACGACCTGAACTTGAACCAAATGTGATTATAATATTTTTATGGTTTATTATAGTTGTCCCACACGTATAAAATAAGACATACAATTGTTTTCCAAAAAAAAATAAATCTTACACAAGTTAAAAAAAACATGGTGCACATATGTGTACCTTAGGTTTTAACGTGGGCCAAAGTTTTTATTTGTGTGGTAACTCTCAAAACAATTATTTTTGAGTACACATAGGTACATATTGCATTTCACACACATGGTGCGGCAGCGTGAGGAGCACGTCGGATGACGGCATTTTGAGGCGGACCTGCTGTCCACAAATTGCAGCAGATGATCCACACCGTCAAGCCTTATTTCAGGTTGTGTTTGGGGTACGACCGGCCGATGTTTTTTTGTAGGTGGGTGGTCATCGGTACACTGTAGTCCTTCGCTGGTAGCAGTCGAGGTGGATCTTGTCGAAGGGCTAGCGCTGGGACAAAATCTGGAGCCAGGAAGCAAGAAGTTGGGTTCAACCTTTCCGCCGCTGTACTTCATCATCGCTTTGGCTAGATTCAGTCTGTATTGAAGTAAGCCTAACTTGTCTTTGCGTTGGACATTTTTTTCAGTGCAACAGCGGGTGTACATTATCCAGCAATTGACCACAACCAAATCCAGAAAATGACAAAAAGTTCTTATTGTCCACTTTCTTGTTCGCATTGTCTCCCTTGGGTGTTTCACACTTCAATAATAAGCAATTAGTCTGTCGCACAAATCTATTCCACCCATGCAGGGGTTGTAATTTCTGACTGCTTCCGGCCGAGCTACGTCTATCTTCCGTTTTTCTTTTTTGCACCACCGTTTGCAAGTATCTGCAGGAGCACTCCCTGAATATGTAGACAACATTGTTACGGCCTTTGTGTCCATCCATTTTACGACACACACATTTTCATCGTCTCTTACTTTTTCATCCCATTGTCCTCTTTCTAACGTCCTGTCATTCTTCAGTTTCTTCGCTACTGGTCCAATCCTATTTGACATTGCAGTTCCAGTTAGAAAATTGGAAAAATTGGACTATCTTTTTCTAGCAAAAGTTCTGCCAGCTTCAGACTTGTAAAGAATCTCTGTGTACAATACGCAGCTATCGTTCATTGTGCGACATAATTTTTCGACGATACCCGCTCCTAGTCCTAGATTTTTCATTACATCATTTGGTAATGTATCCTTGCCAACATAGATTTCAAAATCCAATACTAACCCGTCTCGGGCAGCCAGCACAAATTTCTTCAGACCTAGTGGATTTGGCTTAGCAGGCACGTATTGACGGTATTCACATCGTCCAGAGAATGGTATAATTTGCTCGTCAATTGACATATGTTTAGAGCGTGGCAAACTATGGCATTTTTTCAAAATGGGGTCTATCGGTGGCCTGATTTTCCACAGCTTGTCATTAGCATTGAGTTGGTTTACGTCGACTAAGTGCAGATAATTCCTGAGCTCAAAAAAACGATCACGACTGATTGTATCTCTAACTATAGGTACACAAAGATCTCTAGTCCAGTAGAGCTTTCCTTGTGGATATTTGAGGGTGCCCATCATCAGTTGTACACCAGCAAAGTGGATCATTTCAATAGAATTTGTATTTATTGGTTTTAGGTTTCTTTTTTGAGCTGAATATAGGTTGCTCTGTTCTGCTAGTAATCCCCAAAAGTCTAACCCTAAATACTCAAAAAAACAATACAAAACATTCATGTCCGCGCTCCCCTGTGAAATGAGTACGTATCTGCAATATCTGGCCCACGGCGAGGCATTATGTTCCTTCGCCACAATAATCGTGATGTACTTTGACTTACTTCTTCAGTATTTACATCGTCTTGCATCGCTTCTTCACGTGCTTCTTCTTCTTCTAGGCCTTCACCTCTAACTTCCGCATCTTGAGACTCTTGAAGTGCTCTTAAGACATCTGGCGGCACCGCGGCAAGTACTCTTCATCATCGTCGTCTCCAGAAAAATCCAGATCGCTGTCATTCATGAAATCCTCAATCGCTCGGTCATCCATGTTCAAGCTGAAAAACGGTCGCATATCATACAAAAGTAATCTTTAGTCTTGAAGTACACATATGTGTACCAATAAAACAACACAACCTTTACAGGAATATTTTTTTAAATAAATATAAAACTTACCTTTCACACGTTAGTCCAATAATTCAGCAACACAAATGAACAAAAATATCAAACTAAAGTGAAGATTTTCTCTTTTTTATCGAAATTCAAAGATTGATAGTCGACGTCTTTTGATAAAAATTCCAACGAACAAATTTAAATGAAAAAATAACTCCACAAACTTCCTCCGCGAAGTCGTCTATGGACATATATCGAAACTCTATAACCTATAGTAACTCATTCAAGTACCAGCAGTTGTCAAAAGATGTCACTACTGGTCTTAATTTTAATGAATTAAAGGTGCACATATGTGTACCTATGGTCTTAAGAGGATAATAATTATTCGCGGCATCTCTGGTATTAACTGACTAACAAAAATCTTACAAAAATACTGTAAGTAGTTTTATATGAATAATCAAATTGAGTAAAGTGGCAAACATTCACTAATTCTACTCTATTTTTTTTTTATTTACTTCCGCGTATCTGCTAATTGAAAAAAAATTAAGTGTGTAAAACTATAATATTTCTTCAAATTAAATGTAGAATTAATAAAAATACCGTTCAGGTAAGATTTTCATATTTCGTAATAAAACAGTCGACCCCCGTTAATCCGGCTCCTGTCTAACCTCCCCCCCCCTCCACACTACCCCTGTAATTCGACATGCTTATTGCTTATAGCAGGTAGGTCGAGTCGCGGCACGAGGAGAGGTGTTCTTCGCGAATACGTGCACGAATTTAGCGTATTGACGCGTATTGTATGTCGGTTTGAACGTGACCATGGAAACGGCTCAACGGGCGTTCATTGGGTGCGTTTGGCAGAAAAAAGCGCTGCCAGCGCTATTTCATTCTATTCAGTAGCGCTGACCAATCCCTTTCTTTTATTTTTTTTTAGTAGAGTTTATAGTTTTTTTGCAATTTTTTAGTAATATAATATGAATAAACATATACATTTATTAAAAATTCATGATTGGTAAGTTTTTAATATGAATACTTTACAAACATATATTAATTAGTAGTTCCCCGTTTTTTAACGCTTACGATCGCCATTTTTTTACAAGCGCTTGCTAGTGCTTTTTTCTGCAACCCATTTACTGTTTAGGTATTCGTTATCTGTATTTTTACTATTTCATATTTTGATATACAGGGTGTTAGTGTAAAAACCGTTATCCTTGAAACCAGTGGTTTGGTTTCACTTATAGAACGTAAATTCAATGAAAAATAACAACATTTTTTTTTTAGTGAAATCTCAATTTAATTCCTCAATTTTAGCCTGTCCTAAGTCCTAACTAGCGCGGGCGGTGATCTTTACAGTGATTACGTCACTCGGGCGCATAGGGTATCTATGAATTTACGGACGGTGTTGGACAGAAACTTTGTAAATTTTATGAAAGGAAATAGCGTTTTTTTAATTCGGATAAATATTTTTATATTAAAGCCAACTATCTATGGTTTTAGTGCTAACGGTGTTTACACATACACCGTGTATAACTTGTCGGATTACAAGGTACTCTTATTCAAAAAGTTCTGGATTACCAGGGTGACAGTACTCTATAGTCCGATGAACTTGATAATCCGACACCATCTTGCAAAACGTTTGTCGGAATACCGCGAACCAACTGTCTGAGTATTTTTGAGAATAAGACCATACCTCTTGGTTCCTTTAATATTTATTCCTCTTCTCTACTTGCCGGTAGTAAAAAAATGGGTCTATTTCAAAGAATGAGCAATTATTCCATTTGAGTAAATACAGAATTGTTGGTGACTTAAATCCAACCATTACAACCGAAGTCGATTGCTTAACATAGGCCCCATGTTTCTCCTTAGAATGTTTCATATTTACGCCACACTAAGCGGCAAGTTGCCAACCGCAGTTTTTTTTCTTATTTTTAGTTATTATCCTTTTATAATTGTGAGTTATTATACTTCCTCGCGTGGCAGAACTACGCTACAGCTATATTATAGTTGTAGCACGAATGGATCAGCTCGACCCGGGAAGGACCACGCTCTCACATAATAACATCGTGAAATAGCATTAAGCTGCTACCAGCAGATAATAACTCAAACTATAAGAAATTGCGGTATGGGATTCGTATGGTGAGAGTAGAGAACCAGAGGTGATAACGCATTTGTAATATGATTCTTAACTGAGGATAAATGTAGAAGTGTATGGGCCACAGCATCCACTTACCATCAGGTGCAACAGTCCGGCCCGTATGTCACCCTTATTCTATAAAAAAAATCCCGTTTCATTTTCTCAACCTTATACCCTTTTTACTACCCGTGCAGTTAAAGAATGGGATTGAGAATGGCGTCCTCTCTATTCACCTCTCATACGCACACTGTCGCTATCTACACTCACACCCAGCGGTAAAGACTACAAAAAAAAAATACTTTGCGATATACGTTTAACGTACGTTCTATAACTTCAGTTCAACTTATCACTGGCATCAATGATAACAAATTCTCATGAATTATTTTAAAAAATTAGTCCAGTTAAATGTTAATTTTGGAATTACGGACGCGTTCTGGGAATTTTCTTCATAATTATTGTTAATTTTGTTAATATTTGTGTATTAAATATTAATAGGAGTAATTTAGATTAACTAAATTTTATCTAAGTTAAGTTGAGTGACCTCCTCGACCGCATTTCATTTGCTGTTCCGCGTAAATATCCCCGTTGTCGCATTCAAAAAATATTTCATATTCCTTTCGCGAAAACTCATCTCGGGAATCACGCACCTATTGTGCGTATATGTGGAAAATATAACAAATTTTCTAAAACCATACCTGTCATTGACATTTTTAACGACTCTTATGTTGCATTCAAAATTAAACTTACAAATCATTTATCGTCGAGTTCCTGATATAAATTACATTTTCAATATAATATATCATATACTTAAATTAAAAATATACATACTCCTGAAGAGAGTATAATATCTACCATATTCCAATTTAATAATTAAGCTTGTTTTTTTTTTCTTTAAATTTATCTTATTTAAGTCTATTGAATAGTTCTAATTTTCATTGTATTGATTGGATGATATTTGTACTCCAAATTAACCCAAAATTGCACGACTCAATCTGTGAATGTTATGTACACTTGTTATTGATATACATATCAGAGAGTATAGAAATGTGTATGTTTTCGTGATTGTCATATATGTGTATTGTAAGTGTACTTGTTAAATAAAATAAAATAAAAATCTAGATATTTTATAAAAATAGAAATATTGATAGGATAAAATAAATGGTCTTAAATGATCAGCTTAAGTCTAAATAATGCCACACAATAGATTCCAGAGAGGTTCGGTAGTTATAAATGTTATTTTAAAATTAATATACCTACATGTGTACACAATTATATACAAACGATTTCCCATTAATAGAAAGTTTCCAACTAACCGAATAATATAACGATATACCGTTATTAGCGGGTTTTTGCTATTGGTACTATTCATATTGACGGTACGGGCTCGATGAGCCGCTATTTCTAATCCCATTCTTATCCGTATGGACTATAATGTTAAATAATCTCCAATAAAAGTTTTCTCCCATTTCTTACCCGTAAAAAAAATCTCGAGACATATTTTATAAACTATAAACTTTAGTCTTATACAAGTATGTCTTCTTACCTTAGAACACAATGAACAAAAATGTGATTTCTTTTTTGCATTAACTACTTTATGGTTTCTCTTTGATGAAATTTTTTTATGGAAAGTACTTGAATCTGTTGAGGAGATTAAAAACAATGAATAAAGAATTAACTTTAATATTTATTAAAACATTCATATCAACTAACATATTTACAACATTACCTGTTATAGAGATGTTTGCATTGTTCCTACAACAGAAAATAAATACTTTTCATTACACTTTTAATTTACGAACTCCCAAGCAAAACATTTACATATCTTAAACTAGCTGATACCCAGCTCATTGCTGCCACAGAAAAAATAATTGTGGAAGTATCATTTTAAATTTGGAAGAATTATATTGTTTAATTGGTAATGATAATACATATATTGAAGTTGAATGGTATACAACATGTAACAAAAACCCTGTGGTTCCCGTTGACTGCGTAATCAGAATCAGTATTCAAGCGTATAGCAATAATTTTTTTTTTTTTTTTTTTTCTTAATTTTCTTTTTTTATTAAAAATAATCTTAATTAAATGTTTTTTTGAAAAAAAAATTATTAATTATTTCTATACGCTTGGATACCGATTTTGATAACGCACTTAACGGGAACCACAGGGTTTTTGTTACATGTTGTATAACTTTCAAATAAATTTGTGTAAGTTAATTATTTTACTATGCTTATAATCTGCGCGCAAGTGTATAAAATTGAATTGTTCAGTGTTCAGGTAAGTTCTTTTTATCGAATTTTGATTTTTGCGGGTTCAGCTTTGGTAAAAAATATTATTTTTACTCACTGTCTAGCCTGTTCTGCATTTTTTATCAAATTTAATGTAATGTCGTCTCCGTCATCATCAAATTCGTTTATATCATCCAAATACTGTATATCTGTAACAAGTTAATATGATTATGTCCTCCAGATCTAATTCCGGTCACGGCGGCTAGCCTCAGCGGAGACTAGCCATCGCCGCACGACAGGATTATAGTGCTCAAGTGTATGCGCAAGTACAGGTGCACACTCTATTCCTTCTCTCTAACTTATACTTCGATGGTATGGTAAACCAACACAACCAGAGAGAGATCAAGTACAGGCATAGGCTTTACGTGCTTTCCGAAGCACTGGGGTGAGGAATCGCCAGCTTCCTGACTCCGGACAACTTCTGAGAATTTCTAGAGTGAAAAATTCAATAACAGATATTTTTTTGGACCAACCCGGGATTCGAACCTGGGACATCATAATCAGCAGTCGTGTTTACAGCCTCTAGACTAAAGAGGCAGTCAGTAATATGATAATATGCATGGACAGGTTTGCAGTATACATTTAAGTACAAAATGTTTTCTTTAGGAATTTCGTTTTTGAACAAAAAAATTTTGTTACATTAATCTTATATTATATTATTAATCTATATAATATAAAAGTATCCACCTGGATACTTTTATATTATACCCTTACCAAAATGCATCATTTATTCTTTATTAATCATATGACTTCTGATGCGAATTTCCAGTCAATATGGATGGATTATGCCTGGTGCTTTGGATCAGACATCAAGAGATTTTTCATGGTAAAAGGGTTTCAATGTTCAATTGGAACAAATTTGAAGAGATCACATAATTATTCCGGAATATACAATTCCTGCATTTATGAAACACACAGTCCATCTGATAAGTGTGTAAATAAAATTTTTCACTTAAGAATTTTCTTCAATTAAGAATCAAAATGCAGATGAGTTGACCTCTAGACTGGACTAAGATAGAATGCCATGTTATTAGTAAAGAGGGTAAATTAAAGTAAGTAAAGTTACAGCCTATATACATCCCATTGCCGAGCACAGGCCTCCGCTCATTTCTGAGGGTTTTAGGGCAAGGAACTGTCTGCCGCGCTGCCCCAATGCGTGTTGGCGAACTTCACATGTCTTCCAAATATTTTTTTTCTTGTTTCTCTGACATGCATGCAGGTTTCCTCACGATGTTTTCCTTCACCGCCAAGCACGTGGTTAATCGCAATTAACAATTTCATTGGTGCCGGCGGGAATCGAACCCGGTTTGCTCGCGTACTGTGAAATTTACAGCGAGCGCTAACCATCTGAGCTACCACGGCTCTTGAGTCACCACGGCTCTAAAGAGCGTATCCAGTTCTAAATACAGCACACTGTATCATAACATGGTTTACGCTAGTATCGTATGAGATCGTGGTTCTTTTCTAGTCATGTCGAACTATTCATGCAGTTGTGAAATGCATATCTTGAAACTTATTGAAATATGATCAAATATGTTTATATGGTTCATGCAGTGTCCTTTTAGTTTTGAGATTACTCAATTTGAATTAAGTACTAGTATTACTGATTATATACATATTTATTTATTATACATATTTCTGTTCTGTTCTATCTATTATATACATATATAACTCGGTGAGTCAAACCACATTGAACCAAAAAATATGGGTATAGATGGAAAATAGTGAAAATTTTGATAAATGGCTAGCCTATCGCCTATACATATTGATACATATGCTTAAGGCAAGTAACACAATTAGCACATTTTTTTAGGTGCCACTTAAACATGGGAGTTATAAGTTGCAGACCAACGGGGCTAGACTTATTGGCTATAATTCACACTATTATACCTTCATGCTCTTCCAGTTCTTCTTTTGTGTCATAGTGTTCATTATCGTTTTCTTTCACCTTATAGTCAGTAATTGACCTGAAAATTATTCATAAATGTTGAATATTGATATTTAGATATTTCATACAACATATATCCCTTAACCTAGATACTATATAGGCAGAGATTACACACAAGTATTGTTTTGTATGCAGTATATCCACTAGAAGCTTTTAAACAATATGGATTTCTCATAAGGTAAATTTATTAGCAGGTAAAGAGTAATATAAGTTTGAATTATAAATTTGTTGTATCACAAGCGATTCGCCCAGGCATTGATGTGCAATTTAGTGTTGTAATTTTTTTACAAATTGATGATTAAACACCAATATATGTCAAATACATTTGTGCTTTCCTTACAAAACACTATTTATACATCTATTTTTAATACTGGTAACTTAATAAATATGGGTATGTATTGGTTTTTTTTTAAATTTTGTCATTTAAGTAATTAACTGTGTAGTGGTAGTTTAAGAATATCCACTTCCCCATATCGACCCATGGGTGTCGTAAGTGGTGACAGAGAGAAACAAACCTAAAAATAAATTGTGGCTACCAAACCGCCAGCCATGCGTGGCATTTATGGCAAAATGCTCCCTAAGAGAAAATCTTGGGGGAGACCTATGTTAGGCAGTCGACTTTTAGAGGCCGTAATAATGTACGTCTATAAATTAATGCACCTGTTAACCGGTATGTCCAAGTTAAGTTTGAGAAAAGTCATATAATTATTTTGATTTGATAATATATAATAATAACTTTATTAAAAAATTCTGGATCGTAGATTCTCCACAAAGTATTCCCCCTTACTACAGAGTCTAAACTGACAGAAGAATAAACATTGCTTGCTTATTCAGACAGATTGGCAGATGCTAACTGACAGCACTGGCAATTACAGAAAACCTGCCAATAGGGAAGGTTCATTTCATTTTGATTAGCTGGTAGCAGTGATAATGATGATACCAGCACTGCTCACTTTTAACTGTAAAATATGTCTCTACGATCAAAACCATACAATATCAATTTCCTCCAGACCAAACTCTGGTCATGGTGGTTAGTCTCAAGTGGAGGTAGCCGTCTTCGCAGGGGACAGGATTATAGACTTTCCGAGGGAAGGGGGTGAAACATCGCCAACTTGTGGAGAGATGCGAGTTATATTTATGTTGAGACACCTTCAGATAGCGTGAAATAGTGTGGCTGTTTTCGTATGGTGGTGTAGGGGACCCTTTTACTGAAAGAGGCTTCCATCTCAGTCCTCAGGGTGAAAACGCATCTGATTTTGATTTTTAATGGAGGACAGATGTAGTGTCTATGGGCCGCACAACACTTACATCAGGTGGAAATGTGCTGTTTGTCACCTATTCTATAAAAAAAAAAAAAACTCCGACTTGGGCTGCTACTGACAATTTCTTGACAGTAAAACCAAATAACTGATTTTTTGACACAACCCAGAATTCAAGCTCATCCTTATAACTTCAGTGCCTGTGATTGAAAACTATAAAGAGCCAAAACGAAATTATGTACCCTAAGTATTATAGTAATAAAAATAACATATAATACCTTGTGCCAATTTCCTCTTCAGTTCTTAATTCACCAATTAGAAATTTGAAAGCTATATCCGATTTTTGACATTTGTTCTTAAAATCGTAGCAAAAGCTGAGGTCGTTTTTACAAAGCTCACATATCTGGAAGGGAACTTCATCAGAATTCACCTGCAAAGTAAGTATTTAATTAATTTTTTACTGTTGATTGGTTAAAAATTAGATAATTAGAATTTCAGTTTTGCTTTATAGTACCCTACAATACGAAGAGGAGTAAGAAGTGACTGGGCGGTGAGGGAGAAGATAACCCCCGTGCACATCCCTTTATCACTATAAGAGACACGAATGCCATTGAGGAGAATAAGTAGTACGAGTGAAGTCAACCCTAGCAATTAATCTAGAACTACCAATAATTAATGCTTGAGTTTTAGTGGGGCTAATGGATAATTCGTAAGATTTACACCAGTCAAAAATGCTAGCCAGATCAGCGTTTGTTGTATCTATAGCTTTCGGTAAACCATCCACAGTAGATTGAGTGTAAATCTGGAGATTGTCGGCATGTTAGTTAGTTTACGACGGGCTGTTTTCCGCAACTCCACGTCTAAGCGCGTATTTTGCGTAAAATCGTCGGAGTACAAGTGATAAGAAGAAGACAGTTGATTACTTATAGAATATGTAAACTACAGTCAACTACAACTGGAGATATATTGAGAAAGCACAATTAACAAGATATCAAAATCGACTATATTAAACGCATTTCTGAAATCTAACAAAGTTACCCTTTATAGGTCAGAAGCGAAATTAGTATGGCGGCTGTAACCACCTGACAAGTTTCACTCTAGGGATCATAATTCATTAATGCTTGTGTTGGTAATCGACCTTTTACAAGCAACAAGCTAAACCACCAAAGTGAAGTTAATCACATTTCCTTGATAAAGTATGACATATTGCCTTGTCTCCATAAGTGTTTAAGACCCGGAGAAGAGACTGTCTCATATATTATTAAAAAAATGTGGTAAAATGTGATATTTACATTTTAAGGCAAATTAACAAATAATTTAACTATTTTCCTTCAATTTGGTATATAAATTTTAATTCTAACTTGTATTTAGAGAGTACAATAACAATTTAAATTCAATACGTAGTTGAAACGGATTTTTAGGACAGAATTTGAACAAGTGCATATTTACAGATTCTCATTTGTTTATTTTATATTTGGGGCTATCACAGAAAACTTTTACAAAGTAGAATGATCACTTTATGCCATGAAACAGTTTATTTAGATATTATTGCACAATGATAATATTAGGTGTTAAAACGTAGGTATGGAGACCTTTGAGGTTTGTGCCTTAGGTGCAACCTAACTGAATCTGTATGATGAAATTAATGTATTTTCTGTTTATTATAGATGTTTATACTAGTATTAGATTTAGAGAACATGCCCTATAACCAGCCAGTCTGTTTGATCGAGGGCATAGATAACATCCAAGCCGAAAATTCAGATATTGGTAGGGACTCAAACCCCGACGATAATCTACCTTTAAACATCATGTCAGGAAGATTAGCAGCTGCAGGACTGATTGCACTGTTACAGGATCCTAAAACTAAGACTATTAGTTACCTAGATTGTTGGTTAATGAGATTTTTATTCCTAAGGATATTGATTTATAAGTTATAAGACTTTTGATTCCTAAAAAGTATAATTCCTAAGACTCTAGTCTTAGGTCCTAGGGCTTTTGATTTCATACTGGTAAGTAATATATATTATTATAATAGATATTCTTTGAAAATTTATTTAGAATAATATAGAAATTTTTCATAGAAGATATTTAGAAGATTTTTTTATTCTACTTTATTTAGAAGATATTTTTTGTTAGTTTTATGACACAAAGGAGTCATTTTTGAATTAATAGTACACTTAGTCACATTGATTAATAATTTAAGATATTTGGGATAAAAAAATACCAAAAATATTGTTATTTTAATAATATTATTTTATTTTTATTGCTATATAATATTTGATGATTTTTATTTACAATTTTTCCCTAAGCGGTCACAGTTTAAAACAAATCCACTAAAATTATTTTTAATGGTCTTGGTTTTATATAGAACTACCCGAATAAATCAGCCCTACAGCCCTAAACCTCTCCCAATATCAAAAATTCAAATTCAACAAAAAAATATTATGCCCTATAAAGGGTGAAACCGATACATGCATGAATTGTACCTCAATTAGAACCAAAATCACTAATGAAATTGAATCACAGGATATTGAAACCAACCCAGAATTTCTTTGGAAGTGATGAAAATAAAGATCTCAGTAACCACTTTTATGAAACCAGGATTCACAGCTAGAATTTCCTGCTCATAAAAAATAAGTTAAATTTGTTCACTAATAAAGGTATTTCTTTAGTAATCTACCGTACGAATTTATGGTCGCCGAGAAGGCGGGTAGATGGGGGGCGGAGGGGTAGGAACCTCCCCCTAAAAGAATTAAGTGCCGGAAACCCCCCCTTTTTTATGAATTTTTTTAATAATCTGCCGCATGAATATATGGTCGCCGAGTGGGGGTGGGGGTGCTGGGGTAGGAACCTCCCCCTAAAAGGGCGAAGCCGCAAACCCCCCTTTTTTTGTAAAATCGTAACCTCACTTTTTTATACAGGAATATTGACACAGTTACTTTTGCAACAGCTTCGGCACTGCGGGAAGTGCAGCCCCTTCGCCCTTGCGTAACAAATCACAGGCACCCATGCTCGCCTCTGCAGCTTCGGCTTATTGTATTGCGATTTGCTACAGCGGGCGGGGGCTGCTCTCCCTCCGTGCCTACGGCTTTACAAAAACACTCTAGAGGTAGGGCAGACAAGACTATGTGGAGTCGGGGTGTGCTAATTCAGTTTTAGAACCAATTCGACCAATTTTATCTATAAAGTCTAGTTGCTCTTAACTCTGCTACTAGAGTGGTTAATGAAATAATGTAATGTGAATTGTTATAATTTTGTTTTCCGAAAAACCTCTTGACTGCTCTCCACTGCAACTCAATTTGTTGTATATAAGTCCCATCCACAAATGGATTGTCTGGGAAAATAAATTGACATATTTGCGTTTTTGACATATTTTAGTGAAATAAATGATTTGATTTGATTGATTTTCGTTATATGTAATTTAAAGTGAAATTTATTTTTATCGTAATTAATTCAAAAGGCATTTCCCAAATCCAAAAACAGTGTAAATGGTTCGTACTTAATCCTGACAATCCTCCTAAATTGAAAACATAATTAAAAAATCAAGTATCGGAACTCTCTATATTTTAAATCGGAAAACACTATTTTTGGTGAAATTTGTTTTTATCGTAATTAATTCAAAATACATTTTCGACATCTAAAAACAGTGTTATAGGTTTAAGATTAACCCTAACAAGCCTCCTAGACTAAAAACATTATCAAAATCAAGTACTGGATGTCTAGCCAAACCGATATAACCTCAAAACTTTAACTATCGATTTTTAACAAAGCTGAATTTTACATATTTAATAAATAGATATCCATAGTGAGTATTTAATAATAGATTTGCGCTTACTTCTATTGATGTTATCGATGAATACATGTATAAGATATCTTCATATAAATATGATGTTTTTGTAAATAAATTGCCTTTTGTTGATAAACATATTCTACACAATTTTTCATTATTACAGTCAGTATGATTTATTTCTTCTTTGACTTTATTTTCTAGGGACAAAGTAAGTTCCATATGTTTATCGTTGTGAATTAATTCTTGAGCATCTAACTTTATACTAAGATTTTCACATTCCTTCTTAAGAATAGTTTGTTGTTCATCTGTCAAATCCATCTTTATTTATTTTTATTATAATTGAGAAATATTTTCATTTCATTACATTGAAAATGCTATCCACCAAAAACTTAAAAATTTGTTAATTTACCTCCGTCATGGAGTTACCTTTTTTATTAACGGCTCTGGGTTCTAGCCTTTCTGACCTATCATTTCTTTCGGAATCTTCATTTTTATATTCTTTTTCTTCACAATATGCTGATGCATCACATTGCGAAGCCCGTGGGAGATTTTGAGGATAGCTCGATCCAGAAGGCAATTGATGACGACAGCCACTCAAGTTCATAAAGCGCCCAAGCGATCAAAATAACTTGAGGTTTATATCGACATCAAAGCACTTGTTTAGTCGTTTTCTCTAATAGTTCACACGCGCGGACACTTAATTCACAAAATCGCATCACTTTTACGAATCAAAAGCCACTTCAAACCATTAATCAACAAAACAGGAGCGACAATCCGTCTACGGCCAACTTCCCGCCAAAACTCCCTAGCGCTACCACTCACTGACTTACGGCGCCTCTACACGTTGGCCAACACAGTGGCGAATGTAGTGGCCAATAGCATTGGCCAACGTGTAAACGGGGTGTTTGGGCTTCATTGGTATGTATTGGAACGATGGCCCGCAAGTTGGCGCGAGATCCGTGTGGTGTCGGTTTTTTACAAAAGATCAAAGGATTGTTGGCAGAGTTTGGTCGCCGCGTCCACACGTTGACCGCGAGTTTAGTTTGCTACAAGCTCCCAGAGTGATTACACGCATCTGATTAAAATTTTATATTCACGCTTTGTAGGGTGGATGACCCAATTAACAGACTTTTAGTGCCAATTTCCACTTTAAACATTCCTGCTACTTTAATTAGCGCGATTTAATTATTTTTCAACGTTCGTTTTAATCGATAAGATATTTATAAAAAAAATAATGAACATTTATTTGCAATCAGATTATTACGATAACAATTTTAAAATGAAAAAAAAAAATGAAGCACGTCGTTTATACGTGGTAGAACCATGCAGTTATATTAGAAGTATAGTTGTAGCACGAATTGGTCGGTTCGACCGGAGAAGGACCACGCTCTCACAGAATATCAATGTAAAATAGTAGCTTAATGATGCTGTGTTTCGTATAGTGAGTGTAGAGAACCAGAGACACTTTTTAAAGGAAACGAGGCATTTCATCTTAGTCCTCACGGGTAACAATGCATTTGCATTTTGATTCGTAATCGAGGATAGGTGTAGATGTCTATGGGCCACAGCAACCACTTACCATCAGGTGAACTGTGTGCTCGTTTGTCACCATATCCTATATAAAAAGCGTCGATTTCTTATAATTTAATCTTGCAAGTTTTCGAATCATCATCATCATTACAGCTCTTCACAAGTCCACTACTGAACATCCTCCTCCACAGACTGCCGCAAAGCATGGTCCTGAGCCACTTTGCTCATCATGAGTTTTTCATTTATGTTCTAAGTTATAATTAGTACCTATTATTAAGTCAGTGTTAATTATATTTATTGCTATTGTTTTTGTCTTTCTCAAAAAATAATTAAATTACCAAATAAATTATAAGGTGTTTTTATATACATCAAATGTCTGATAGAAATGCACGTACATATTTTGCTAAACTTTAAAATCAAAATCCAATTTTAAAACATAGACTGATCTCTTATAACTCCTTTAACTTTAAAATAAGTTAAGTTCTTATTAATGGTAGTTGTGTGTTCCAGTTTAAGATGCATGTAAAGAATAAATAAAGCTAATCGTATATCGTATATCTATTTACAACCCCATTAATATCCACTATTATTTTATAATTCTTTTATAAAAACGTTAACCCCACACTAGGATTTTCTCCCGTTTCGCGCAGGCAGTTTACAAACATAAATTGCACAAGGACACACATCCAGACCCGAAACAATTATTTTTAGGACATACAAATACTTGTTCCGTGCGGGATCAAACCCGCGGTGCCTGGTGCAGCCACTCATTGCTGAGCCACTGCGCCACGGTGCTTATAAATTCGTCCGCACATTGGCCCGAACCGAAGTAAACTGAACGACCTTCCAACGTGTGGACGCCGTCACCCACTCTCGGCCAATATATTCGCCACTACATTCGCCACTGTGTTGGCCAACGTGTAGAGGCGACATTAGAAGTATATAGGTATTATATCTCTATGCTACCACTACACTCCATAGTATAGATTCATAAAGTTGTTTTCATTTGATTTTTTTATTAAGGTTTTTGGCTTGGATGCTTATCTTTTAAGCCACGTCTTCATTTAATTCGGGAACTTCGTTATTAATTATTATAGATTTTTTTCACAATATACTAATACGCCCCAGTACGAAGTATTTGAGATATTTTGATGACAGCCTAACCAATAAGGTAGAGTAATATATACAGAATGTCTATGGCCTATGGAGTGTAGAGTTCCCTACGGACACTTTTATACAGAGTCTGTACTCCTTATCTCTACACTCTCTACACTCCCTTACTTCTGTAGTCTTAAAGCGCCTAAGCGAACAAAATAACTTGAGGTTAATATTAATTAGCGACTCTTACAGCTGTAAGAGTCGCACAGACTAACAGCACTAACATCTAGATAATAGAGATGAGGTTAATATCAATATGCTTAATAATAAAAAAATTATCTTTTAATCGATAGGTTCTGAAAATTTTCTGGTGCTATGTTGTAAAAGCGTAAACATAGTTCCATGAAGTAAGGACTCTTTGGAGTAGTACATAACAGTTATGACTAACTTATGCTTGTTTCGAGTAATTACAGAATCTAGTGATGTCAAAGTAATATATAAGTCAATGAGTGATGTACGTTCTGTAAACACTTTTAATAAAACTATTTGCTTTGCTTTTATAGCCTTCTTCTGCATAACAAAGATTCAATGTCAGTTGCACAATCCTGTAGCAAGATTCCATATATGACATTATGCTGAATTCAACAAGACTCAGCTCCTCCCTACTTATAAGCACACTGATATTCACCTGTTTAACAGTGTCGTGAGTTTAATACATTTCGTTTTATTACATATAGCATATTAATTTTGATAGGAATTATCTAATTCATCATAATATTTTGATAATTGCCCTATAAATGAGCAAATCAACAAAGTACCATAATGTAATAAAACTATATCATGGTCATTCCCTGCTAGGTAAGGTAGGTCATTAATAAAAAGTAGAACAGGACGGAGCCGAGAATTGAGCCTTAATCCTACCTAATGATTTCTTATATTTACGCGAACACTACACATTGAAATAATACTAGTTTTTACGGAATTTATCGCGTATATTTAACTTTTTAAATACCCGACGTTTCGAACGCTTTACAGCACTCATGGTCACGGGCGGGACTGAGATGTTCAACGTCCATATTTCATAGTTAACCGCGGTTACCATAGATTAAAATTTAACTTTTGTTCCGATCTATGCAGTATGAACTTATGGTATCTTGAAGTCTTGCAGTTGTATGCTTGGGTTGGGATTTAATTTTATTTATTATAGGATCCCAAGCAGATGGTAGCACCCAGCCATCTTCTCTATTGAAATTAGGATGTTTTTTGATTTCAATAGCCTCGCGAATCATCCTTGGAAGCAATCGGTGTTCTTTAGCGAGGATTTGCGGTCTATCAAATCTGATATAGTGACTGGGGCGATCCTGTACGTGTTCACAGACTGCAGACTTCCCGAAGCGTCGATTCTTCACATCAGCTATATGTTCTTTAACGCGGGTTTTTATTGATCTTTTAGTTTGTCCTATATAGGAGAGACCACATTCACAATCAAGCTTGTACACTCATGCATCTTGCAGAGGGACATTACACTTGACTGATGGTAAAAACTGACCAATCTTCTTCAGCGGCTTGAAGTATGTTTTGATGGAAGCGCGCTTCAAGATGTAGTTAATCTTGTCAATGACTTCTCTTATATATGGCAGTATAGCAGGTACACGCTCGACTGTGGCCGGCTTCACTCGTTTACTGTGACGTATGTGAGGTATTTAAAAAGTTAAATATACGCGATAAATTCCGTAAAAACTAGTATTATCTTAATCCTACCTTTTAACAAAGTACCATACCAAAGTACCGTACCATCTGGCCCACTCGACTTGTTGATGTTCAGGGAGAGGAGTGCTCTGCGCACTGAGCTTTGGGTAAACAGGACATCCTGCATGGAGAACTCACTCCGCGGAATGGTCGGCGGTGTGTTTCCTCCGTCATCAAGAGTCGAAGTTGGACGCAAAGAGAGAGCCCAGCAGATCGGCGTTGTTCTTTGCGGCATAGGTCAGTGAGTCGTCCTCCCTGTGCAGAGATGGAAGAGATACCTGACAGAAGTTCCCTTGGACAGCCTTGGCGAGATATCAGAATGCACGTGTTCCCGAAGGAAGACGAACTAGTTTCTTGCCAATTCTGCCAATATGCTCTGACTTCGCCTTGACAATGACACTTTTGAAGGACCTGGAGGCAGAATTGTACTTCTTTTTAAGGGCGCTGGTGTTTGCATCCCGAGACGTCGATGCGCGAGCCCAGGCCTGGTAGCACTCCTGCTTACAACGTAGTGCAATTTTGCAGGAGCGACCAAACCAATGCTGGGTTCTGCCTCCGACAGGTACCACAGAGGATGTAATAAAAAGTTCCATTCCATGTAGCACCACATCAGCGACAGAATCAGCAACAATACTGGGATCATCCGGCGAGGAGCATACCTGCCCCCAAGGGTAGGATGTAAAAAAAAGATCGCATCCAGTCCCAGTCTGCTGACCTATAATGCCAAACAAGGCGGCAACCTGCAGTACGCAACCGCGATGAGTACGTGAGTGGCACCGTACTTCGGATCAGATAATGGTCCAGACCCTTGGACATCTTTGGCAAAACACCTTAATAAAATTAGAAGTAAGGAAAAGAGCCTGAGCAGTTTAAAATCTTTAAATCACCTCCAGTCAGTCAACGAAAGACGAAAAGTACCAAATAATTCAGTCTTATTTTTA